TTTGGACAAGTGTCAAGTCAGTAGTCTCCCCCATGATTGTGTAGCCTACAGAACTAGACTGAGAGACCATGTAAAGGCTTTTGAAGGTGTTTTGAGGTAATGAGCTGATTAGTGTGGCACCAGGGGCCTTCAATGCTGAACCGTTTCACAATATTCTAATATTCTGAGATACTGAATTTTGGATTTCATTAGTTGTCAGTTAAAATCACGAAATTAAAGAAATAAACATTTGAAATATATCAGTCTGTGTGTAATGAATTAATCTAATATACAAGTCTCACTTTTTTAACCCTCCCACTGTCCTAATGGGTGTGACCCCGCGAGGAAAGTTGACCACTGAGCAGGACTGATGTTTATCCCTTGAGGTCCATGTGGCAGGGGTGAGGAGTGAGCACCACCTCACCCCTGCCACATGGACCTCAAGGGATAAACATCAGTCCTGCTCAGTGGTCAACTTTCCTCGCGGGGTCACTCATTAAGACAGTGGGAGGGTTAATGGAATATCTGAAATAAATCAATTGTAGTAACGTTTGTGCACCAACTGGTACGTAACACTAACCATTATGGTCAAAACGATAATCACTTTGTATTCAAGTTATGTTTTGTGTATTTAATAATTGTTAATGAAATGCAGTTTGCTAAAGGACAAACTTTTTGTTGCTGTATTTGTGACAGCTAAAAGCAGCTGAGGGAGCCTCCTCCCAGATTCTGAGCCGGGGCTTGAATACTTATCTGTGTCAGACCTGTAGACAGCTCTGGCCTGTTAGGGAGGAGTGTGCTGCTGCTGTCAGGGCCTCTGTCACAAACAGCAGGCTTGTTTCAGTGAAGTGGCTACTTATAAAGCAGGGCTCTGGCTTCATTATGTGCAATCAGTGAGAGAGAATCGAGCACCCATTTAGCTACTGAATCATCGTTTTATCCACCTTGTGTTTCACTCCTAATCCTGAGTGTGTTGTAAACGAGACGGCACTGCTGCAAGCACGTTAATGACTGTATCATTTTCATGTAAACATATACTGTGCGTGTGTCTCACCTTCTTCAGCCATGCTTGTGGTCCGCTGGTGGACAGCTCCTCAGAGCTGAGGACCTGAGCTCCAGTTGAACCAGTGAAGAGACCAGGCACGTTAGTGGACTGTGCCCAAGCGTCCACCTATCAAAACAAGTTCCTGTTAGATCAGACAGCATCATTTCAGATCCTTCTCAACAGTCAGGAACCCAGCAGCAGCCAGTGTTCGTCCACTCACAGGCTGCGTCCAAATTCAGGGGTAGCATCCTTATGATGGACGTGGACCGTCCTACCAGGTCCATGTAAGCCAGGTCCTTCGTAGACCACAAAGACGAGATGTGAGTGGCTGTGAATTTGGACAGTCTGGCCTTCATATTTTCCTGCCCTTACCTCGGCGTATGTCCTGTTGGCTAGAAACCGGGACAGCGCCAAAGAGAAGTTGAAACTAAACTTAGCTGGAAAGAACAAAGAACTATTTTTGTTTTTAAATCACTGAATGGTCTTGCCCCACCATTCTCTCTGAGCTTCTTTCCTTTTATAAACCGGCCCGGAACTTCAGGTCAGCGGACCAACTACTGTTAGAGGTCCCGAGGTCAAGGAAGAAGCTCAGGGGAGAACGAGCGGTCTCAATATGTGGACCTGCACTGTGGAAAGCCCTACCACTGAGTGTACGTCAGGCAACGTCGCTGTCATCATTTAAATCCTTCCTGAAAACACACTTTTATCGGCAAGCTTTTGACACGGTCTGAGACTCTGTCTTGTATGGGTTATTGTATTTTATTTATTTAAATTTTTAATTCAGATTTTATCTTTTCTGTCTTAAGGATTTTAAATGGTTTTATGTAAATATCAAGTCTGTGTTGTCAGCGCTTTGTTCCGATTCCTCGTCATAGAAAATGCGCTTTATAAATAAAATTGATCTGATCTGACGACACCAGTCGTACGAGCTCGCATCCAATGATTTTTATGACTGTGTAGACAACACAAGTCTAACAACACAATCCTTTTTAGCTTTTCATTTTGCATCACCAGATATTGATATTCTTACATTTAAAACTGTAATCCTCTCCCGCTTCTTCTCCATTTTTACAAGAAAATGTCCTGTTCAGCCTCCAATGAATCCTGGAAAATGATTGGCCATGAAGGATATGCGAGATACCTCAAATTTAGGGAAAAGAGGGTCACTGAAGGGCCCTAAATGTTGCCTTCTCGCTTTGCTGTCATGTAAACATCCTTAAAATGCAGTCTTGGAAGGACGCAGGTTTCTGTTTTTGCTCTAACAGCTTTAAAGAGCAAGTCACCCCCTACCAGAGTCTAACTCCACTCCCACTTCATGTTTGAAAAATGCAACAAATGCCGTTGCCTGGCAGACCGAGAGGGCGGAGCCGCTAACAAATACACACACACAGACTCACGACAGCACTGTGACATCATAATGTACCAGTTTACATCATAGCATACCTCTTAGCCAGTAGCGGTGGCAGATTTAAATTCAAATGCAGTGCATAGTTTTTACCTGATGACTGCACAACACTGACAGTTTTAGGCAGAATATTTAAATTTTAACTAAGATGCAATGAAATGCCAAATTATTGACGACACGTGTCTGCAGCACGATTAGACACTCGTTTATTTAGTTTATCAGCAAAAAAAGTTGATTTGGGGGTGACTTGCTCTTTAAATATTGTAACATGTTGCTAAACACCAATGTTACCCAAGACCATTTGTTTTTGTCTGTCATCACAATAGGAACCACCCGTGGACTACAGTGTGTGTGTGTGTGTGTGCGTGCGTGCATGCGTGTGTGTGTGTGTGTGTCTAAGTGAGAAAGTCAAAGAAAAATCACCAAGAAAGAGTTTAGTTAGGCCACCTGTCTGCAGACAACATGGTCCAAACGACCACTTATTCAAGTGCATTATTCTTGAAAGGACATGTAATATTCTCACTATTACTGGCCTTTAAAAGGTTAACGCTTATTACCTCTAATGTTTCAGTCTTAAGGCAGTGAAAAGGCAACAATAGGAATAAAAAGCTGCAATTAATGAAAGAAAATTAGCTCCAAGGGTTTCCCTTTTTAAGCATCAAAGTTACCTTCACCATAAATCTCATCTCAGTTTAATTAAGCAGCTCATTAACAGGAGGAGATGTGGAGATTTCCAGTTATGTTAGAGATTAATATTAAACGTAGTGCTGCGTGTAAAGTCTCAGTTCAGCGAGCAGCCGATAAAACATGGAGCTGGAGCTTCACACTGAAGCAGGATTTATGTTAAGTGCTAATTAGAAGGAGATGGTGATAATGAGAGGGACTAATGAGTTGTAAAACAATAGCTGGCAGAGCTGCTTAATAAGGATGTACTCTACCTGCTCCTGAGCCCGGCTGAGCATGCACATGGCGCTGATGTCGTACGGGTTCTCAGCCAGTCGCCTCTGGGCTTTGATTCGCTCCGTCACAGCCTGAGAAATGTCCACCGGCTGAGGAGACAGAAAGGTCAAAGAGGAGCGTTTTACATAGAAGGAAAGATGAAGCAGAACCAGGTCAGGATAACCTTTAGAGCTCCTTTAGAGGAATGGCCCAGAATACTCCATCCAACTCTCTGGAAAAGGTACTGGCAGACAGCACAAGAACATTTATTCAGTCAATTAGTCATCAGCAGTCTTCATTTACCACCATTTTTATGCTTTTGCATAAATCTGCTCTACTGGTCACCTCAGTCTGTGGCTTCAGGGTTAAATATTTAATAATGTTTTTTTTAGAAGACAGATTCTTCCGTTCCTTAAAGGTGTGGGACACGTGGTTATCCAGTACATTTGAGGTGGTCTCTAGTAGGAATGAATGCCTTGTAAGTCATTGTAAGATTTCTGCCTGACAGTGAGGATTTGCAATAAACCAAGAAAATCTAATTGTTTGAATGCTGTAAAGCATTCAAACTATAGTGATCCTGTTTCTCTTTGTAGTCGGTTTATTATTTTGCTTCCGTACGTATTTTGGCTTTTAACTACTTCCACAATTCTTCAGCTGTTTACACAATTTTGGTATCAAAACGTTCAGCTCACTCAGCTTATACCGGCAATGGCTTTTGGTATTAAAATATTTTATACTTTTTGAGATATTCAGCTTTTTCTGCGATTTTTGGTCCCATTGAAATGAATGGGATTGCTCAATTTTCAGCTAAGTCCTATCACTTTTTTGAACTCTTACTCATAGGTTAACTTTAACCTAGAGACTTCATTCAAGTTTCAACAAACTCACAAGACTTCCAGCTATTTCTGGTTAAAACATCTTTTCGATATCTATTAAGTTTTTCTAAAATCACAGGTAGAAGTTGAGGTACGGCTTGAGATTTTCAGAAAAAATCTCAAAAATTATAATGGGCAGAGATAGGAGCAATGACCCTCCCTTGCCCCATTTCTAGCATTGTCCTGAGAAAACCTTAAGTCCGATTGAAATGAGACGCACGCTGGCTTGCAGCTAACAGACACCTTCGTTTGGAGTTATAAATCATGAATGTACTCCAAACATTGTGGTTGTTTTGTTCATTTCTTTGAGAATATTCAAAATTTAAAAAATGCCTCTCACCACTCTAAACTGAAAATTACACACATTTTCTGGAAACAACTCTTTGCAATACCCAGACCGTTTGGAGTACCGAAACAAATCATATCTCAAAAAGTTGGAATTTTTGTCAGCTTTTCAGAATGAGTTTTATCTGTAAGTGTTACATTTCTCTCTCTACAAGCCTCAGAAGGAGGAGAGACCCTGATTCTGTCTCATTGAAACCCATGTTAAAGGAACTGAGATTTTCTCCTCCGATCGGCTTCAGACATCTAAAATGTTCTCATCATAGCTTCTAGACAATTCAAGGCAGGCACATAAAAATTCACACATTTGTTTCCTCCGCCTACTGGATCAGTGTAGCACCACCCTTTGCTTACAGAAGCTAATCTGCATTGGTGTGGTGATGGAAAACACAAACGCATCCTGAACAGTGACAGCTCACTGTAAACGGTTGAAGTGGTCCATCCCTGTCTTGTTATTCTCTGTATCACTTGTATTGACAGCCCACAGGCGTTCTCAGCGATGTGTGATCTCCCTCCTCTGGTGGATCTGTCTGACAGCGCTGACAGCTGATCTCATTAGTCATCTTTCCCCGGATGTGCCGACAAAGCATGCAACTAGAAGACAACTGAGGAAGGTCTCGTTATTCTGTAAGAACAGTCACCTCATTCTCACAGCTGTGCCACTGAGTACAGGTGTGGTGGGTGTCGCTGCTGGCTGGTTCTGTGCTCTGGTTCTCTCTGTGTAGTAATTACAGATTAACATGCAGCACAAGATGCACTGGCATCTACTTGAAATTTCACTGGGCTTTCCACTGGATGCGTAAGCAGCGCGTAACGTCTTCAAAGCCCAAGAAGCAGCTAATAGCCACCATTATATTCAATGGGTTTGTATCCATCGGGTGTAGAGCGACACAACTTGGCTGCAAGAGAAAACCTCTGATCTGATCTGATTTGTAAAGACCTCTGGAACAATAAAACTAAAGTCTATTGTGCACAGCTGCATGTTTGGTGGAAACCGAACGGCTGACTTGTACAGATCACACATCTATGGAATAAACAACATAGCTGATTGAAGAAGGTTGCAAAATAGAAAAAAAGTGCAATATTGAATTTGTGACAAACCTGCAGCCCTACTTAAAATAAGTGCAAAATGTAATCACAGACATCACCGCTGATTTGTAGAGTTTATTACCTGTTGTCGGGTGTCGGGGAAAACACTGTCGCTGTCCGGCACCGGCTGCTCAACAACATCGGGTAACCCCACGCTCACTGGCTTCTCACTCGACGGTGGCGTTGGTGTTACTGTAGGGGCGTTCGACTTTTTGGAGGTAGCGGGAGTTTTTTCTGTTGTTTTGTCGACTGGAACCCATTCACCATAAGCACCAGGTGTCTCTCCCTCCTAGATAACACAAAACATTATCTCAAGCTGTTATGTTATGTTTGATCCATCTACATCTAGCTCCTAAAGGCATTAGTACATTCCTCAAAAACATAGAAATGTCTTCTAACCTCTAGTGGAGGATTTAGATACTACAACTGACAAGCAGCAATGTCATGAGGTTTAGTGGCTAGCGTTGAGGTTATTAGGGATTTACCTCGACTATTATTTCATGTAGAAGACTTTAAAAGGTTGGAGAACCCAGTCTTGTACAAATCGTGTTCAAGCAGAGATAAACCAGTTGATTTAGAAACTAAATGTAGCAAACAAAGTTCTGTGGATATTTTCTGACCTTCTTACGATGTTGTGACCCTGAAGACACAGGAAACTCCTTGGCCATGTCTGCATCACTACGTACCAAGGGACGAACTGTTGTGCTCTGAAGGAGACAAAAAGGATAAATAGTTAGCTGTTAACCAGCCAATGGTTAAAGTCGTATCTTCTTGTCCCTTTACCAGCTCACACAAAAACCCTACGGGGTTACAAGTGCACCGGTTTGATGACACTGCTCTTTTGTCAAAAAACCAACATGTCCCACCAACATCAAAAATTTGTTTAAAGTTAGTGAGTTTTAGGAATTGATTTGGCCTCCAAAATCTCCAGGGCCCTTATTCATCAAAGTGCGTAGGAACGATTTTACATATGGTTTGGTATTCACCATTTTTTACTTGTGAGTGAAACTGTTCTTAATTATAAGACCAGCTCTGGCCATGTGAACAGCATCTAGCGGTAGGACAGATTCTTGTTTGTTGAGAAACAGCTTTATAGCATAATTGGTGTTAGAACAGACCGTGCATTCCGGAGGGAACCGGTTTTCTGTGAGTGCACTGATTTGATTAGTGAGAATACAGAGTGGCTCCTGAGCTCCTGAAGATCTTCTGGAACTGTGCTGTGGTCTGGGATGCGACCAGCTGATGTTAATCTTGGATGGTTCTGGAATGTTGGAGATATTCCAATCAGGCTTTAGGAAGGGACATAGTACAGACTGACACTTTTAATGGTGCTTAATGATGTTTTGTTAGAAAATGATTCAGGGGATGCCGGTCTGCTGTTGTTGCTTGACATGACTGCTGCGTTTGATACGGTAGACCACACCATCTTAATGCATCATTTAGAAAAATGGGTACTGGCACTTGCTCAGTGCTTCAATGGGTTAACTCTTTTTGACTGGGAGAAGTTTTAAGAATGTGTGACTTTTCACTGTCTCCATCTAAACTCACCTGGGGAGTCCCTCAGGGATCTGTTTTAGTCCCCCTTTTTTCTCCCTCTATCTTTTACCACTGGTGGAATTTTTTCAAAAGCATGGGGTTAAGTTCTATTTCTATGCTGATGATTGTCAGATTTACATTCCCCTACATGGTGGTACCCATGGTTTGATTAGTTCTGGTTTGATTAGTTCTCTCCTGGATTGTTTGGGTGACGTCAGTTCATGGATGGCTTCTAATTTTCTGAATTTCAATGAAAAAAAAAGAGTAAAGTAGTCATTTTAAAACCTGATGATGACAGGATATGTGTGGAGCATCCATTCGATCTCTCTGTGTTGGCTCCTTATAAGAAGGACACGGTAACCAATCTGGGTGTCGAGTGTAATGGAGCCTTAAGATTTGATAGTCAGATCAATTCTGTTGTTAGATGATGCTTTTTCCACCTGTGTCGTATTGCAAGGTTTAAACCATTTCTGTATTCATTTTAAGATTTTGTTTTTCGGTTTTAAATCACTACTGGGAACTGCCTCACCATTTCTGTCTGACCTTCTAGCTCGATATGTTCCATCACACTCATACTACAATGGGTTTACTGGTAGTTCCACAGAAAAATTGTGTCACCAGAGGAGAGCTGGGGTCTTATTTCTCAAACATTGCGTAGAATCCTGACTAAAACCGTACTTAAGCTCAGCAAAAAACAATGTACTAACGCCAAGTGGGATTGTGATCTATCAAACTTGGAGTACGCACAGCTGCACGCAATCTCCACTTCATAAATCAGAGACTAATGAGAAAGGTTCTCAGCTGCATTTTAGTCACATCCCGCCCTCAACACGCCCACTTACTGCCATAAATGGTCAATGCAAAGTGCCTTGTGGATCTCATACATATACATAAGCCGGCTGTTGCAGCATTTCGATCATGATCGCAGATCAAGGAAGCCCTATTTCACAAGCAGAAATTGAGGTACTTGTGGGTGAGGTGAGAAATGAAAGGAAGTGCTTTTGCAAAACAAATAAGAGAAAATCCACGGAGTGGCACAGCGTTGCTGAAGCCGTCAATGCTGAGTTCTTCAGAGAGATCTGTGGCGGATATAAAAAAAATGGTCCAATCGGAATTCGATCCCCAGACTCCCACGTGAAAGTCACGCGTGCTAACCAGTCACCAAAATGAAGATCTCCCTTGTCCAAGTAGCCAAGATGCGTGATCCATCGGGTCACAGTGACGGGACACACACACTGTCACAGACGCATGACATTCTGTCTCAATCTATCCCCCTTCTGATATTCTGCATTCCGTATTCTGCGCTTCAGGTAGTGTGTGTGTGTGCGCACGTGCGCGTGTGAGTGTGCGCGCTCATGTGTGTGCATGTGGGGGCTCTTGTCCTGTGTGAAAACGAACCCTGTTTTGTGCGTAAGCAAGCTTGATAAATGAGGCCCCTGGCCTTTTCATTTCTTGGACCTACATTATGGAACAATCTCCCATTTGTGGTCAGGCAGGCTTTGTCACTGGATGTTTCTAAGAGTAAATTAAAGACCCATTCTTATTCTTTGGCTTTTATAAAGGAGTTGGAGTAAGTTTAGTTTTATTTTGTGTATTTTATTGTCTCTTTTACCACTAGGGGAACTTTTTCAAAAGCGTGGGGTTAAGGTCCATTTGTATGCTGATTATTGTCAGATTTATGTTGCCCTACATAGTTTGAGTTTATTTGAGTCTATTGAATTTGAGATGGTTTTATAATTTAATTATTTTTATTTTTCATTCTTTTAATGAATTTGTGCATAACTGTGGAAAGTTGATGTGTTTTACTGTATCATGTAGAGCACCTTGGACATGAAAAGTATAAGAAGGTGCTTAATAAATAATTGGTGATGATAATGATACTGATCCATGGACAACCCAAGATGGTTTGTTGTGAGGTCCAACTGCAGACCCACAGAGCTCTTGGGGAGTCCAAGCCCTGTTGGATGAGTTGTTCTGGGATCCAAGGGCATCCTACTCTACATCACACTATCACCTAGTTAAGATTAACCACAAGTTCATGTCATTAAACCCATTTGATTCAACATAAAAACTAGGAGTAAACGTTACATTGATGTTGAAGCTGATGACTTTCTGCTCTCGAACGGCTGTTCCTCCAAACAGTTTACCATCATCCTCTTCATCTGAAACATGAGGTAGTGCCACTGGCAGCTCCGCCGTGCTGTCTGCAATCATCTTACATTTCTACAAAACACAAAGTTTATCAAAGATGAAGAATTTATTACTTCCACAACACTGGTTAAAATATGTTGCAGGTGGTCTGAGAAGACGTTTTTTTTATTAAAACAAAACAGCACGATGAGTTCAGACTTGTACATTTTCCACTTTGTTACTGTTATATCAGGAACTAACAAATCAAATGTTATTAAGCTTCAGCACTTAGCTTTCTAGCCTAAACAGAAGAGGATTAAAAGACTCAGTAGAACTGAGATCCAAAAAACAGGAGCCAATCATTTCCACATGTTTTGGCGAGACTACATTGGGTACAGATATGCAGACACATTAGCAATGTTTTTGGAAGTGAAATACGTTGTAATTGTAAAAATTTGACTTCAACTAATGTTATTGTAAAAAACGGGAGAAAAAAGAGAAAGAAAGTGATCGCTCGTAAATAACTGAAACCAGACATTCCAACCATCGCAGAATGGATCAACAGAATTTTGTGCTACGGAAAATTTCTCAGTTGCTCTCATGATTCAACGAGACGCTGTTACGAAGTCTGGTCAAGTGGACCGAGTACAGTACAGACTAAAAGTTTGGACACACCTTCTCATTCAATGTGTTGTCTTTATTTTCATGACCATTTACATCGGGAGATTCTCACTGAAGGAATCAAACTAGAGTGTGCAAAGCAGTAATGAGAGCAAAGGGTGGCTATTCTGAAGAAAATAGAATAGAAAACATGTTTTCAGTTGTTTCACCTTTTTTGGTTAAGTCTATAACTCCACATGTGTTCATTCATAGTTCTGATGCCTTCAGTGGTCATGAAAGTAAAGAAAACACATTAAATGAGAAGGTGAGTCCAGACTTGTGGCCTCTCCCGTATATCACACCTATAGGATCTGACTTTGTGTAAAGATAAAATATTTTACATGTAAGAGGATGAAATCTAAACTCCAAGGTATAATGGAACTCCTACCAGTGTTTGTTACGATTGTTCTGACCTGAATTACAAACAACTATAACCCAGTCTGAGTAGTTTGTGCAACATGTGCTGGTGTTGTGTCTGTTCCACACAGTTCAGCGTAGCAGAACACACATAAAGAGTAACCCCTAGATGATGTAATAAGTGATGTCTAAAGTGCTAGTAGACTGTAACACACAATGCTTCCAGGATCGGCCCAATATGACCACGTGGACATGTACTGTATGTTGCTTATGGTGGTTTTAGGTACATCCTGGCGGCATCTCTTCGAGAAAGCCTCTTCTTATCAAAGTACGTCTGAACTGTATGTGTGGAGGCAATAAGCTACGGCATCCCATGGAACTAGCCCTTCGTTTAAGACAGGTGTGGAAATGCATTCTTCTGTCATACAACCTGTCCTGAACCCCGACCCCTAAAGGTTGGTTTATGCTTGATGCGTCCGCGAGGTCCGCACGGCTCCGCGCGGAAAAGTTGCGTCATTTTGCGTCATTTTAACAACCACGCCCCTCCACCGCGTCTCCGCACAGCCCAAGATTTCCGCAACGCGCACCTCGGAAATTTTCTAACCACGCGGACGGACGGACGCGGAAAAACATGGCGGACCGGCAAGAACTAGTATGGCAGAGGTTCGTAAATACAGACATTTGTATGATTCAGCTCTCAGAGATCACCGTGATCAACATGTTGTTAATAATTCTTGGAGAGAAATAGCTCGCACTGTCGGAAAAGACGAGGACGCTGTTAAAAATGCTGTAATGTCATGTTGTAAACAGTAGTTTCTACTTCTACTATGGTGTAGTGTTGGATGCATGCCGTAGAGCTCCATGCTGCCCCGTTCAGTTTGGGAGAATATTGGCTCACCGCAGAGACGAGCCGCACAAACCATAAACGCTGCGAGTTGTGAAGCGCGTTCCATCCGCGAGCCGCATCACCGCGCGGAAAGTAAATGCGTCAAGCATAAACCAAGCTTAAGCAGAGGTACCTATGAAGCTGTGGTTTATTTGTATTGTTCCAGCAAAAAGGGCTCTAGAGTGAAACGTGAGGCCATCTGTCTGCAGACTGAAACTCGGGTCAAATGAGGTCATGCAACACAATCACAGATGTGACCGAGATCTTCACACTCTGCATTTTGTCCTAGTTTTTATAAATAACTCCTGAAAAAGTGACAGAAACCTAAAAACACACTCTTGTCTTACATCAGTGAACTCCTTAATGCTGATGCTGTTGGCCTGCTTGGCCACTTTCCTCTTCACCTCCTCCAGAGCAGCAGTGTTGGTCTGGGCGGAGGTAGGAGGTGGCTTGTTGATGATGGTGGGCAGTGGGAGCAGAGAGGACAGAGTCCCCATGTTGGACAAGGCTGCTGTCACAGAGGCTGGACACAGAACAAGACAAGAGCTGATTAGTCCCATGAACACCGTGAAACCATTCAATAACAAATAACCTGAAATCTAATCTCAAATCAATAGAAAACATCCTCTGAAGAGAACGTTCACAGAACCAGCCAACGAATCATCAAACATCGTTCAGCAGTCTCTAAGTCACCCCTCGTGGCTGCTTGGAACCAGACATTCTAGTAAATTCTTCTTCATCTCCATCAGCTGTTCTCCACACTGCCCAAAAGTCTCCCAAAGGTTTTATTTGGGGTCTTTGACTACACTGGTACTGTTTCCTTTAATGAATAAATCTGGAGTTTTTTCTGATGGCACCATCTAGAGGCTCACAAACGCATTGCACTTTAAGCCCCTATTCTTAATGACATGATTAGGACAGGAAGCACCTCTAGCCGGTCAACAGAACTGAGACATATTGTGTCACTAATCTCACTTAATGCTGTTAATTTATGAATATATGTATTTAAAGACAAAGTTGTGGTTGAGAAATGTTGCCAACGCTTCATCAGTCTAGGTACGTCCGAAATGCTCAAACGCGCCGTGACAGATATCTATGTAAGCAAATGTCCAATGCTATTGGCTAATGATGAAAGGCGCTCAATTCAAACTGTATGGGGATCTATGGGCCGGTGCCAGTTTAGCAAAATCAACAGAATATGGCCTGAATTACAAGGCAGTACCAGGTAAGACTATCACCTTTACAAGTTGAAAAACATTCATAAATTCTGAAATGGAAAAAACTCTGGCTCGCTGCTTCAATGCTTCGATAAGCCAATAGCTTACCTTATGTTAACAGTGTTGATAACTATTTAGGAAAAAGTTAAGATGTTGAAAACAAAACAACGATCCAATGGAAAAGACACAAAGCTCAACAGTTTCACTAATAATTTCAGAAAAATCAATTAAACTCCATAAAATCACATTTTATAATTTTATAATTTAGCACATTTTCAAAACTTTTTTGCACACCTCTTAACAATGTTCTAATACAGTATAACTAGAAATATATTGTGAAGATTAAAGAAAATAAACGATTGGAGTCGTTCTATCACAAATGTCTAAAAACCTCCACAAATAACATGTTTTGGGCCAAAAGCAACTATTGGACCATCCGGTTGTCGGTCTCGCTCACCACACACTCATGTATTTAGCAACAGAGCACCACTGGTGTGAGAAGTTCTCGGCTCCATAATATCACAGCAGGAGAAACAGCCGGCTGCTACCGCTTCAACTTTAGGCCAAACTACCAGAGCCACAAAAAGAAAAACACCATCTGAAGTCACGGACAACACAAGATGGTTGGACCTAGAAAACATCGACTGGTGTTTAGCTGTGTTTTGTATCTTCAGGCAATGCCAGTTTCTGGTTCTGGCAGAAGCGTCTCAGGGAAGATACCCGAGGGGAGGGGTGAGTATTCCGTGACCGTGTTTGCATTCAAAATCTAGCGTGTTCTGTAGATTCGCTATAACAGCTTTAACCTCACTGCAGAATTAGAATAAATGAAGTTTTTGTCAGGGCTTTCTTCCAATCCTACCAGTGGTTTATGGGATGCAGCACAGAAGAACACACTCATGTAGATGTATGAAACCCGTACCAGCGGTCATGCTAGCCATAGCAGCATTCATGGCCATGCTGGGCAGAGCCAGTGGAAGCATCGCAGACCTGAGGATGGCAGGGATGGGCATCCCAGCTTTCACACACATGGCAGCAGCATTGGCTTTGGCTATTTCCAACAGCTGCTCCTTATCTGAGGACACACACACACACACACACACACACACACACACACACACACACACACACACACACACACACACACACACACACACACACACACACACACACACACACACACACACACACACACACACACACACACACACACACAGAGGGAACAAGCATCAATGATAATTCTTTACAAATATATTTTCCAGTTTGTAAACAGTAACGACAGAACGGATCAGTTAAACCGAGTCTCTGACCCAGTTCACTGACGCGGTGTGGACTACTGCTCCGACTCCTGTCTTTCCTCACAGGGGATCGTTTTTTGCGAAGAATGAGGACGGGGGAATGGCTGGGTTCTCGTTTCCAGCGGTCCCTCTGGCTGAAGGTGGTTCTCCTTCGACTAAGGGATAACGAGCGTGAGAAGGACCTCCGAGAGCGCCGGTTTCTTGACCTGTGTGGAATTCATTAGAATCAGTGCTGATCCTGGTAAACCTACAACACTAGCTAGAATAGTAAAGGGTTAAAAGTAAAGGACAAAAACCATATCCCTACCTCGACCGGGATCTCTTCCTCCCTGAGCGGCTCCTGGATCTGGATCTTCTCTTGTAGCTCCTGTGAGGCGACTTGGATCGTTTCTGCTTCTTTGAAGACCTCTTTTCTTTGCTCCTCTGTGGAGAACTGGACTGTCTTCTTTTCTTTTTGACTGGTGATTTATCTTCAGACCTGGAGCTGTCTGATGCTTTACACTCAGACAGGTTAGACTCTGAGGTCCGTTCAGGCTCAGTAGATATGGACTTGTTCAGCGTTGGCTGGGATGGGCCAGAACCTGAAGCTATAAAAATTTTACATGATCAGTCAGTACATCTACACCCTGTTTGGACTGTACTTGGAAAACATACTAAATATTTCTTTCTGACAAGAGACAACAGCAGAAACGGACAGAAACAAAAATCCAATCAGAAAACGGAACAGGTGGGACTAGACGAGAAAAGAACCAATCAGAGTATGGATCTGGATACGATTAACTAAAGATTGTTTAACCCTCACCAACATATTTAAAGTGGTACTTTACTCACATTTTTAAAACATCTCCAGTGGTCTCTAGTAGGAACGAATGCTTTGTAAGTCATACTTGGAGGAAACAAAGCTCCGGTGCACCTGCTTCACCCACATCACAGTTGAGCTGAACACGACAGGTTTGGAGTCTCATTTCCTGGTATTTGGACATCTCACCTCTGATTGGATAACAGCAATACGACTACTACTGACTCCATTTGCTGAGCAACGTTCATGTTTTATCTCCACTAATAACACATGCCTGGAGGGGTTCTGCTGCGTAGAGGAGTTGCTAATGCTAACGGTCAGCTCCTACCAGCCGAGACGTTCTTCGCTGTTACCCGAGTCAAGTTGGGTGAGTAAGTGACACTGTGGCATAGATCTGTCAGGATTTTTAAATCCTAGAGTTTCACCGTCTGTTTTCTACCAGAAGCTAATGCAGGAGATACAGTACAGAAAGGTTTGGACACACCTTCCCATTCAATGTGTTTTCTTTACTTTCATGACAATTTACATCAGTAGACTCTCACTGAAGGCATCAAAACCATGAATGAACACATGTGGAGTTATGTACTTAACCATCCATCCATCGTCTGAACCCACTTGTCCATGCTATCTCCAGCGGTCAATGGGCAATCAGGCGGGGTACACCCTGGACAGAGTGCCATTCCATCGCAGGGCAACACAGAGGACACACACACACACACACACACACACACACACACACACACACACACACACACACACACACACACACACACACACACACACACACACACACACACACACACACACACACACACACACACACACACACACACACACACACACACACACACACACACACACACACACACACACACACACACACACACACACACACACACACACACACACACACACACACACACACACACACACACACACACACACACACACACACACACACACACACACACACACACACACACACACACACACACACACACACACACACACACACACACACACACACACACACACACACACACACACACACACACACACACACACACACACACACACACACACACACACACACACACACACACACACACACACACACACACACACACACACACACACACACACACACACACACACACACACACACACACACACACACACACACACACACACACACACACACACACACACACACACACACACACACACACACACACACACACACACACACACACACACACACACACACACCTAAGGACAATTTAGACAGACCAACCAACCTAACAGTCATGTTTTTGGACTGTGGGAGGAAGCTGGAGTACCCGGAGAGAACCCACGCATGCACAGGGAGAACATGAAAGATCCCAGGCCGGGAAGCGAACCCAGGACCTTCCTGCTGCTGGGCAACAGCTCTAACCACTGCACCACTGTGCAGCACTGAACTCAACCAAAAAAGGTGAAATAACTGAAAACATGTTTTCTATTCTATTTTCTTCAAAAAAAGCCACCCTTTGCTCTGATTACTGCTTTGCACACTCTTGGTTTTCTCTCGATGAGCTTCAAGATGTAGTCACCTGAACTGGTTTTCCAACAGTCTTGAAGGAGTTCCCAGAGCTGTTTAGCACTTTTTAGCTCCTCTGTAAATGGTCATGAAAATAAAGAAAACACATTGAATGAGTAGGTGTGTCCAAACTTTTGGCCTGTACTGCAGGTGTAGGAGACTATTTTTATGTTCAGCCTGCATGAAAAACTCAGAGTGACTGATTATAATCAGAAATATTGTTTTCAGTGAAGTACCACTTTAAATATTATAGTTTTCATTTTAACAGTGAACTATATAAAATGGCCATGATGAGTCAGTATATGAGGGCTTTCATTATAAAAATTGGACCTCAAAGCCCTGCCTGGCCCTCTTAGTAACACGGATGTGTAGATGAACCTTTTTCAAATCAGTCCCAATTGTATTTTCAGACCTTGGTTAGCTTTTTCATGTCTACCCAGGAACTGGGACCAACATAGTTCACGAAACGTACTGGTTAAGTCTCTTTTTAGGTCCTACCAGAGCGGAACATCCTGGAATGTTAATTTCTATAAAACTTCAACAAAACACGGGGAACAGAGTGAGGAAAAGGTCCAGAGTTTATCATACTTACACTTCCCAAAATCCTATGAAGACCTGCTGTCTTCCAGGGAAGTCTGCAGTTCACAGAATAACCGTGGAACTGGTCTGGAACCTTTCCTGGTGATTGGTTCAAGTTAGCACTTTAAGAGGGGAGGCGGAGCAGCTAGGAGCAGCTAGCTGAGCTGGTTAGGGAGGTAGTCACAGAACTGAGTTGGTGAGAAAGCTAGTCTCTACCCACCAGTGCTGCTGTCCTCCCTCAGGTTTCATTGTGCCAGTTTCATATGTATAAACACATTTTGTTGAAGGATTAACTGGTTCATTAATAGTGCAGCTTCATCAAATGTAACTATCATATCTTACCTTTTTCTCCCTGCCCCCCCACTGGTGTTACATTCTGAGCAGAGCTCTCCAGCGGACAGATTCTGGACTCAATCATCTCTTCTTGGATGAGTCTTTGGGCAGGACTAATGGTGAGAAGAGGTGGCTGAAGGTTCTTCAAAGAACACCGATGAGATTGTGTGGATCCATACAAACCTTCCCTCTTCTCACTGGAGCTACCATCAGCCACGCTAACCACATGGAAACCAAGGACACAAAAACATCCCAAGAGTTTCTTATAATCAGTAAGTTAATTCAGTTGCACTAACCTCTAGTTTTTACTGGGCTGGAAGGGCAACTAAAATACTACATTACAATATTTGAGATGAGGTATTGCCTAGAAAGTATTACTCTGTAACAGTAGAATTACCAAAAGTTTGGACTAGGGCTGGGTGATAGGGCATAACATCAATATCACAATATATTGAGGATTTCACCTCGATAACGATAAACTGACAATAACTACAGGTATGCGCAGACACAAAAGTCGTCCAGTAGATGGGGCTGTCACATGTATCGCATTGAGTCACATTTTTACATGATTCAAGGTGGTACAGCTTCTTAAAGGGACATGAACGCTGCCAACCAACACACATCTTTTCATTTTTTCAATATCAGATTTATTGACATGGGAAAAATAATCACGATAAGAGTCATAAATTTCGATTACGATAGTCGTATCATCTGACCTGCGGCCGTATGTTTTGGACACCCGAGTGAAGAGAGGAGCGGAGCTGTCAACTGATCACCACCTGGTGGTGAGTTGGATCAGATGGCAGGGGAAGATGCCGCGTAGACCTGGCAGACCCAAACGCATAGTGAGGGTCTGCTGGGAACGCCTGGCAGAAGAGCCTCTCAAGACGGTCTTCAACTCCCACCTCCTTTGACCGCATCCCGAGAGCAGTGGGGGACATTGACTCCGAGTGGGCCTTGTTCCACTCTGCGATTGTTGAGGCGGCTGTTGCTAGCTGTGGTCACAAGGTGGCCGGTGCCAGTCGTGGTGGCAGCCCTCGTACCCGCTGGTGGACACCAGAGGTTCGGGGAGCTGTCAGGCTGAAGAAGGAGGCCTACAGGTCGTGGCTGGTCTGTGGGTCTCCGGAGGCAGCAGACAGGTACCGGATAGCCAAGTGGGGTGCAGCAGTGGCAGTTGCCAAGGCAAAATCTCGGGCGTGGGAGGAGTTTGGTGAGGCCATGGAGACAAACTATCGATTGGCTCCAAAGAGGTTCTGGCAAACTGTCTGGCGCCTCAGGAGAGGAAGGCAGCAACTCGCTCACACTGTTTACAGTGGGGATGGGGAGCTGCTGACATCAACTGGGGCTATAGTCGGATGGTGGAAGGAATACTTTGAGGAGCTCCTCAATCCCACCTACGCACATTCCGAGGAGGAACCAAAGCTGGAAGACCTGGGGATGGACTGTCCAATCTCAGGGGCAGAAGTTGCTGAGGTAGACAAACAACTACACAGCGGCGGAGCCCCGGGGGTGGATTAGATTCGTCCTGGGAATCTCAAGGCTATGGATGTTGTAGGACTGTCATATTTGACACGTCTTTGCAACATTGCGTGGTCATCAAGAGCAGTTCCTGTGGAGTGGCAGACCGGGGTGGTGGTCCCCATCTTTAAGAAGGGTAACCTGAGGGTGTGTTCCAACTATAGGGGGATCACACTCCTCAGCCTCCCTGGAAAGGTCTACGCCAAGGTACTGGAGAGGAGGGTCCGATAGATAGTTGAATCTCAGATTGAGGACGAGCAATGTGGTTTTCGTCGTGGCCGTGAAACTGTGGACTAGCTCTATACCCTTGCAAGTGTGATGGAGGGGGCATGGGAGTTTGCCCAACCAATCCACATGTGTTTTGTGGATTTGGAGAAGGCTTATGACCGTGTCCCCAGGGGCACCCTGTGGGGGACGCTCCAGGAGTATGGGGTGGGTGGCATTCTGTTAAGGGCCATTCAGTCCCTTTACCAGAGGAGCGTGAGTTTGGTCCACATAGTCGGTAGTACGTCGGACCTGTTCCCGGTGAGTGTTGGACTCCGCCAGGGCTGCCCTTTGTCACCGGTTCTGTTCATTACCTTTATGGACAGAATTTCTAGGCGCAGTCGTGGTGTGGAGTGTGTCAAGTTTGGTGGCAGGAGAATCTCGTCTCTGCTTATTGCTGATGATGTGGTCCTTCTAGCTTCATCTTGCTCTGACCTTCGGCTCTTGCTGGGTAGGTTCGCGGCCGAGTGTGAAGCGGCTGGGATGAGGATCAGCACCTCCAAATCTGAGACCATGGTTCTCGACCGGAAAAGGGTGGATTGCCAACTCCAGGTCGGGGGAGAGGTCCTACCTCAAGTGGAGGAATTTAAGCATCTCGGGGTCTTGTTCACAAGTGAGGGTAGGAGGGATCTGGAGATCGACAGGCGGATTGGTTCAGCGTCTGCAGTGATGCGGACGCTGAGCCGATCTGTCATGGTGAAGAGGGAGCTGAGCCAGAAAGCCAGGCTCTCGATTTACCGGTCGATCTACATCCCAATCCTCACCTATGGTCATGAGCTTTGGGTAATGACCGAAAAAACGAGATCTCGGATAAAAGCGGCCGAAATGAGTTTCCTCCGTAGGGTGGCTGGGCTCAGCCTTAGAGATAGGGTGAGGAGCTCGGACATTCGGGAGGGACTCGGAGTAGAACCGCTGCTCCTCCGGATCGAAAGGATTCAGTTGAGGTGGTTTGGGCATCTGGTCAGGATGCCTCCTCCCTGGGGAGGTGTTTCGGGCATGTCCTGCCGGCAGGAGGTCCCCGGGTCGACCCAGGACATGTTGGAGAGGTTACATCTCCAGTCTGGTCCGGGAACGCCTTGGGGTCCTGCCGGAGGAGCTGGTGGAGGTGGCCGGGGAGAGGACGGTCTGGAACTCCCTAATTGGGATAATGCCCCCGCGACCCGGACCCAGATAAGCGGAGGAAGACGACGACGACGACAAAATCTGCTGATTTTAGAAGCATTAATGTCAGTATATCAGTTATCTGCCATAACAGTGATCACTAAATCTGACCATGCCCCATGCTTTTATTGTTAAATAAACTCTGCTGTAAGGCCTTTGGCACCAAATATGGCGGTCATCCCAGGACAGACCAGATGTCAATCAAGAAGTCAAGCTGAAAGAGTCATAGACTACATTTACATGCAGCCAATATCCGGGTTATGATCGGGTTAAGGTCGGTATTCAGGTTTCTGAGTTGATCAGAATAACCCGTTTACAAGCATAAATAGAAAGAGTTATCCCTAACTTGCAGAACCCGATTTAAATGCGGACGTTGGGATAGTGTCAGAACGTGTGGACTACGTCAAGACGCAATATGCGTCATTTACGGTTCTTCTTGTTCCGGTATCCGTGAAAACAACAACGTGTTTCCCAGTTCGGAAGAGATAGTGACCGCGTTTGTTTGCGCTTTAGTGCTGGTATTGACCCACCGATGAAGACAGAGGTTTCCTCGTCACTCCAAAAGTGTGGTGCTGTGCCGCGACTCGCCATGTTGCTCCCAACTTGTTGTTTACTTCCGGTGTTCTGGCGCATACAAGACGTCTCGCTACTCAAAAGACCAAGATTCCTTGCGAACAGAGCATGTGCAGAACACACGCTTTGATGGGGATATCCCGATATGCGTTTACACGACCAAACATTCGGGTTAGAAAAGGGTTACCCCAGGTGTAGTAACCGGGTATGAGTATATCCGGGTTTTTGGCGGTGTTTACATGGCCGTGCGGAACCGGGTTATTGTGAATATTCGGGTTTTAAAAGGGTTACTGGCTGCATGTAAACACACTCATAGTGTGTGGTTGGCATGGATCCTCAGGTATGGAGGTTAACCAAGCATTAAAGGTCTTATCACTCAAACACCTCAAATAGGGGATGTTGTAGGTGTAAGTACATTTTTACAGAGAAGATACAAAGTACACCCAGTAGCACGGGGTATCGTATTTAACTACGATTTCATTTGAAGTGTTCCTTCAGGTTTGCTGAAATGCAACAGTACGGAGGCCAGAAACGGACTGATGTGGAAATAAAAACAGACGTAAAAAATAACAATGTGTTCGTTTTAAGAGCACAGGGGTTACTGGGGGGCAGGGGACATGTTGGACAGGTCTAGAGAAAGATTACCATGACACTGCACAGAAATGAGCGGACACAGAATGTCGGTGGATGGATAGTTGTTGGAAGTAGTTGCAGTAGAAAGAGGCTATGAGGGGGATGGGCTGGTCTGCCCTAAGCACTCCTGGCACTTTAAAACAAAATCAAAATGTTGGCAGCATTAATGTCTATGAAAGTGCTGCAGGTGTTGTGCTGAAAAGAGCATGCCCTATTGTGGTAAGGTATGTAGCTCAATACAGCCGTGTGTTGAGGAAGTGAATGATTATTTAAGTAAGTAAGGCTGGTTTTTAACTCATTTGTAGTTTCACCACGTTTCATTTCCGCGTGCTTCCTTAAAAAATTACAGTTTTTGACGTTTTATTTAAACATCTTCAGACAAATATTTAACAGTTTGTTAAAATATTTTTTCTGGTCCCTGGTCTGTAATTTAGACTCACATTCCTCCAAAATAGTTTAAGCAGGCAGAAAAAAAAATCATATAAAAGATGAAGACATTAGTCTCAAACGTGCTCAAATAAAACGGTATTTCATCGCATTTCTAGTCAAAAACAAAACTTTCAGGAGGAACACGGATTAGAACACGTTCATATAATGAATCTATTAAAAATTGCGTCATCGATCATAACTCTAATCGTTTACTTCATCTATTTGAGGTTGTGACGACAGGGCACTCATATCTCAGCAGGTAAGCTCTTTTGGGCACAACACCGGGCATGGTAGCAGCAAATGGCTGCTTTATTGGTAGTCCGTTGACCTTTTATCTGAATCTCTTACGACATGTTCGTACTGTTAGCTGGACTATGACGGTGTAGCCTTAGTGAATGAGTTAATAACAAGCCAGGAACCACAGCGGTGAAACTAGCCAGTCTGGATCAGAACTGGAGGAGATGGTTTAGAAGTTGCTGCTTAGGCTGCTGACCCCACTGGACAATGCACAGCTCCATTACAAATGGAGACATGGAGGGATGAAGGCTTTACTATACCTGGACTGGGTCCTGTGACACTGTGGACTGGATGGGGAGCGAGTCCTTGACCTTTGGCGGTTGTTTCTAGATGAAGGCAAGGAGCTCCTTTGATCCGTGCAGGAATGGGATTGAGAACAGGAATGTGACGGTGAAAAGGGACTCCTCGTCTGGTGTCGTTTCTCATGTACCTTTTCTTTATTGGAGCTGTCCTGTTTGGGAGGAAAACTGTGGGTCGGTCAGCTGAAAAACGACTTCTACCAGGTCACTCGTACACAGTTGATGTGGCTTTAGAGCAGCTCGTCTCTGAAACGATTAACTGGTTCATTAAAGCTGGATTACTAATCCAGACAACTTTACCCTAGATTATTTTGTTGCATTCGAGGAAATAAACATGTCAGCAGTTCATCTGTGGCTTGAAGACTCTCTGCCCTTATGGGTAAAAGTCGCTTTGATCAACTTTTTCAGAAAATGTCTTCCGTTTATAAATAGAAATTGCCTGAAAAAGCTCAGAGTTCTAAACTAAAAATTATCTTTAAGTTAGGCAGCAGTAAATCCAGGTAACCTAGCTGGTTAAATATTATAGAAAATTACAAAAACAACTACATAGCTCCTTATTTTATCAGTGCATTGGAGTTTTTTATAACATTGAGTTCATTTGGTGGGGTTTAAATCAAATCAAAAACTTTATTTAGATAGCACTTTTCATGCTCAGGAAGCAACACAAAGTTCTTAACAGATTAAAATGACCCATATAACCCATATTCCCTCCCTTTCCCACACTTAAAACAATTATGACAGTTTCACCTCCAATCCACAAACCACTCCCAGGTGCACACACACACACACACACACACACACACACACACACACACACAACACATTAAAAGACCACAGGAAACATTAGGCTGAGCTCAGATTAGACAGGTAACGAAAGACACGCCATCAAGGGAGCCATCTGCCTCGACAGCAGCAGATCCACGGCAGCAGCCAAGACACCAATCCAGGGCGCCCTGGCAGGGTGGCAACCCCCACCACTACCTGGGCACTGCCCAAGGAGCGCCCCAGCTGCCACCACCGACCACCAGTCCCGAGGCAGAGGGCTCCACAGAGGAAACACTGGAAGGATTAAAATATGTGACATGTAAAATAACTAGAGCTAATATGGAAAATATCTAAAATGTATGATGTAAAATATCCAATAAAATGTGATTGTAGAAATAAAACAACATAAATGTGTAACACAATAGTAATTAAAATGAATAAATAAGTAAAACAAGCAATGCGATAAATAGTAATCAGTTAAAAGCTAAACTAAAAAGGTGGGTCTTGAGCCTGAACATGAATGTTCTCTGTAGCCCTGAGATCCTCTGGCAGTCTGTTCCAGAGGTGAGGGCCGTAATAACTAAAAGATGCCTCTCCCTGACTTTAGGAATGACAAGGAGATGGCTGCCAGAGGAGCGCAGGGACCGTGAGGGTTCATATGGTAAAAGCAGTTGTGAGAGATAAGATGGGTCAATACCATTAAGACACTTAAAAAACATTAAAAGTATCTTAAAATCGATCCTGAAACATACGGGGAGCCAATCATTGATTCTAAAACCAGAGTAATGTGCTACCGCTTCCTGGTTTTCGTCAGGACACGAGCTGCTGAGTTTTGCAAAAGTTGTAGACCTGAGATGCTCTCTTTGGGAAGACCAAAAAGCAGGGCATTACAGTGGTCTATCCTACTGGTGATAAAAGAATGCATCAGCGTCTCCGTATTGGCCCGAGAGAAAATGGGGCAGACTCTGGCGATGTTCTTGAGATGATAAAAACCTATTTTTGTCATGTTTTTAATGTGGGGGATAAAAGTTAGCTCAGAGTCGAAAATCACGCCCAGGTTCTTCACTTGTGAAGATGGATTAAAAGACATTGATTGTAGTTTTGGTAAAAGTTTCTCTCTCTGGGCCTCAGGACCGATGAATAAAACTTCAGTTTTGTCCTGGTTGAGCTGGAGAAAGTTTTCTGCCATCCAGGATTTAATGTCTAAAATGCAGTTAAAAGTGCATCCATTGGCTGTGTGTCATCAGGAGACACAGAGATGTACAACTGTGTATCATCAGCATAACTGTGAAAGTTGACCCCGTGTCTCCTGAGGACGCTGCCAAGAGGGAGCATATAGAGGTTAAAAAGTACTGGGCCTAAAACTGAACCCTGGGGCACACCACATGTGATGCTGTGGACCAAAAAAAAAGCAGCTGTGATTTTGGTGGCACGTGAGAACTTTCTACCAGACAATCAGTTTTGATTTTGGTCCTTGAGGCAAACGTTTGGTGTTGTTGCTGGAAGCAGCCTGTTTTCACCCAGCTCGCCATAACCCACCCTTATTTGTTGGGTGGGTTTTGCACTAGAACTGGGCTGGATAAAAACTACAAAGATGGCGTCTGCTCAAGACCTTCCTTTGAGCCATGAGCAGATAGAGGTACTTAAGTTTATTTGGAAAAGATGTATTTGCTTCTTCTACAGTTTAGTGGACTGTCCCGTTGACCGACATCTGTAGCGGCGAGTTAGTCACGTTGTTCGAAGCTCTGATTGGTCCTAGCGCTGTCCAATTGTGTGCAGAGAGAGTTTGAAAGACAATCATAGATTCCTCCCCACGAATGGGGTGTTTCAGAAGTTTTACATATACAGGACGGATTTCCATACTTCCACCACATTCTGCAAACACTATTAAACAATAGTTTGTTTCACTTCCTGAATTAGTCGAGAGTTGAGGTCCAAACGGAGATTGGAAATGTGTGCAGTTGGCTGATTTCTTTGTTTCTAAGCCAGGTTTCGGTGAAGCAACGTGATCAGAGCTGCAGACTTTTTCTCTCTAAATAAATAAATAAATGAAATCCAACAGCTGAATAAACATGTAGATTCTGTTTTGGTGTTTTATTTTACCAGGACGTACGTACGTGCGTGCGTGCGTGTGTGTGTGTGTTGCTGGTGTGATTGATCCTTGACTGACAGTTCAGATTTGTCCGGGTCCATCTACAGTCTGAGAACGAGTTCAAACAAACGGAGAAGCTCCAGGCTGCACGAGTAGGGCCAGTTTAGAGGGCTGAGATTGACGCAAAGGCTGGATCTACTCCAGGAACCAAAGGTTCAACATCTAACTTCATGTCTGAGATCCTGGCAGTAAGTTTTACCTGTTTAGGGATTATATCAGGAAGCTCCTCCTGCCGTCTCAACGAGCTCAGACCACCTCCATCCTCCCTCTGCTTTGCTGTGATCTCTGAATCAGAATCCGATGAATTTTCTCCACTTTTCCGTCTCTTCTTCTTCTTCTTCTTCTTCTTTTTCTTCTTCTTCTTTCCTGTTGAGCGTTCCTTGTGGCACCTGGACTTACTGCCACGATCCTCACCTAAAAAAACAGATTTCAATCAACTATGAAGTTGTCATGAAGCCAATTTCAATTCAATTCAAAAATACTTTATTAATCCCAGAGGGAAATTGATTTAATAAAGAAAGTAAGTGAATAGTGCTAAAACTTTAATAATTTCAACAATTATAAATCTATTGAACTCATTTAATATATAGGGAGCCTACGTTATGCCCATCTACTTCGGCCCATGGGTCCCCATAAAAACTAAACTAAAAAAACAAAAAAACAAGTTAATGGGGCTATGATAGCAATTTTCTAATCCTGCTTGTGAGGACATGACAGGCTTGGTCGCAACACACATCACTGATTTTCATTCAGGTTGAAGAACGTGTGTTTTTGTGTGTGTGATCCAGGATTAGGGTCATTTTGTTGTTCTTCCGAGGTCCCATGAGCCGACCGGACAGCCGACTTAGGCTCCCTAAACGTGCCGTGGCCACTAGTAGGAATGAATGCCTTGTAAGCGTACTCTGGAGGAAACAAAGCACTGGTGTGCCTGTTCCAGGAACTAGACGTGAGCCACATCATAGCTGAGCTCCAGACAGCAGTTTTTGGAGTCTTATTTTCTGATATTTGGACATTTTGCCGCAGACTGTGAAACAACAACGCAACTCTACCACTGACTGTTTCCTCTGCAACGTTGAAGTTTTACCTCTATAAATAACACCGGCCTGGAGGAGTTCTGCCATGTGGTGGAGTTGCTAAAGCTAACAATTACCTTCTACTAGCCGAGACGTTCTCTGCTGTTTCCTGGGCGCTAAACCAACAACAGCCTTCCCCGTAGTGAGTCAAGATGGGTGAGTCCATGAACGTTGTTGGCAGTGTGATGTAGATCTGTCAGAATTTTGTAATCCTATTGTTTCACCGTCTGTTTTCTATCAGAAGCTAATGCAGGAGATAGGTGTAGGAGACTATTTTCCTGTTCAGCCTGCATGAAAAACTCAGAGTGACTGATTGTAATCAGAAATAATAAGTAAAACCTGTTTTTTCTGTGTTCTACACCTTTAAAGCTTTATTGTCGTATGCAGTCAGGACTTCTGTTTTTCTGTGGAGTGAAGTTACTGCATTGTTAGCTACAGTGTACGCCAAATGTACAAATGTAGGCATAAAATAGAGAATACGGTTGCTATACGAGGTTCATATGCTAACATTTGAGCTCATTATCTGTGAAACGGACCAAGTTGTGGCTTATTAGAGTCTAATTTTGATTCGAGTCACTGTTAGAGACTCACCCTGCTCCTTTTGCTCTGATGTTGGTGTCCTTCTTCTAGAAGACAGAAAGAAAACCTGGGTCAGTCAAACTCAACAAATGTGAACCCTTAATACAATGACAGGATGACCTGAATGACATTTAGAAGTAGACTACCAGACATGTGGGATCGAACTACCAACCTTCCAACTCCATTGATTCACAGCCACTCTTCACTCTGTGTTCCTGTTTGCCCCTCACTTCATTATTGGTCAGGTTGTAAAAGCGTGTTTCCACTATCAGAGCTTCAGAGTCATTTAATTATGCCGTACTTTGACAGAATAAAACTGTTATTGTGGACACTTTTTAGCGCTGATGATCAGTGACATCACTCACTGTTGAACCAGTTGCCATTTGCTGTCTGTGCCGGGTTCTGAAAAGGTTGAATTTCAATGGAGACACAACAGCTGAAGGTTTGAGCTATAGGGAGCCTAAGTCTCCCCCCTTTCCTGTCGGATCACGGGTCTCCAGAAGAACAAAAACATGCATGCAAGTCAACGGGACTAAAAACGCTATTTTCTAATACGCTTTGCCTTACGCCTTGGATCGCACATATGTTGTACTGCAATTTAAATGAAAAGTAATGATGGGTGTTTCGACCACGCCAGTCACGTACTTTGAAATTTAGCAGCTTGCAAAAGTTTGTAATTAGCACGACTACAAACTAGAAATCGGCACGTTGCATATGTGACGTCAACACATAATCTCCTCTCCCCTAGCGTAGCTGCTACTTACCACATGACCAGATTCATGGTGGTTTTTTCCTCCTGTGGGAAGTTAGCTGAACTTGAAGCCCTTTTTCCTTCAGATTTCTCAGTGTCTGGTTCGATGACATCACTTTCGTGAAGCGCGTTTGTACTCCTGGACTTATTTTCACACAAAACCTAAAACAGCATTTCCCCTGTTAGAAAATAAGCGCGTTGTTGGTATCAAAATGTGTCTTTAAAATTCACGGACATCATTCATGAAATCCATGGAACAAAACAAGCGGAATTAGAAAACAGCGTTTTTAGCCCCGTTGACTTGCATTTATGTTTTCGTTCTTCTGGGGACCCGTGATCCGGACATGACTTAGGCTCCCTATTGTTTTTCCTGCTCAATTTCCCCCTCCTCGAGATTTCCCACAACTTCTATGGTGGAAAGAAACTTGGAGTGTTTCTCAGTGCCAAGGAACCTTGCCTTAATGTCTTGGTCCCGCCCCGGTTGCCTAGGAGATAAGTAATCAGGAGCCACCAAGGCGTGTTCCAATGTCAATCAATCAAACTTTATTTACATGTCATCTGTTCTCCGTTTGTTAGCCGTTTTAGCTAGCTGACCAAGGATACACGGGAGGTGCCTTGTAGCCTGGCTTTGGCCAAAAGTTTTCCAGAATAGTGAGCCTAAGTCCGCCCATCTACTTCCGGACCATGGGTCCCCGGAAGCAGGAAAAAAGGAATGCAAGTCAATGGGGCTAAAAACGCCGTTTTCTAATTCCGCTAGTTATGTTCCATGGATTTCACATATGATGTCTGTGAATTTTAAAGACGCATTTTGATACCAAGAACGTGCTTATTTTCTAACGGGGAAAGGTTATTTTAGGTTTTGCGTGAAAATAAGTCCAGATGCACATCACGAAAGTGACGTCATCGAACCAGACACAGAGGAAAAACAGGAAAAATGGCTGTAAGTTCGGCAAACTTAAAATCCCTCCTTCAGGAGGAAATAACCACCATAAATCTCATCATGTGGTAAGTAGCAGCTACGCTAGGGAACAGCAGATTCTGTGGCGATGTCACATATGCGACGTACCGACCTCTGCTTTGTGCTAATTATGAACATTTACAAGCTAATAAATCTCAACGTACGTGACTGGCATGGTCGAAACACCCATCATTAGTTTTAATCTAAATTGCAGTCCAACACATGTGCGATCCAGGGCCTAAGGCAAAGCAGTTTAGAAAAAAGCTCTTTAACTTCCTCGGGCCGTGTCCATATATGTGGACATCGGCTCCTTGCACTATAAAACTTATTTATCTTCACTTTAGACCTTTTGTTTTTATTTATAGACACATATTGACTTTATGTTAAAAAAAATTTGTTTTCTTTTTAAAGGAACTTAGACCAATTTTTTATGTAATTTAATTATTTTTATTTTAATATTTGTAATTTTGTTTCCGTTAATGAGAGTAGACTACTCTGTAATAGTTACATGTATTTTTTTCTTTTAAATCACTTCAAATACAGGTTTAGGTCTCAGGACATTAAGCCACATTGACTCGCATTCATTTTTTCGTTCATCCGGGGACCCATGAGCCGACCGGAGAGGGAGGAGACCAAAGGCTATCTAACGGAGGCCGACCGATTTATTCAATCTTTTCTATATCGGCTGAAATTATTTTTAAAAGCCGATAAAAATAAATAAATAAAAATCAGGCACACGTGTGGCCAACTGCCGCTACTACTAGACAGAAGAAAGGACCTGAAGGATCCCAACACACCATTTTTTTTTATGTTTTGAGTTTGTTTTATATTTGAAGTTCAATAAATATTAAGAGATTAATTGCCTTATTTAATTTATATTGCACACAGTTAGTGTTCAGTTCAGTTGTCTTTCACAATCAATGTGCTGCTAAAAAGTGTATATATCGGCATTAAAGAGCTGCTTTAGATATCGGCAACAAAATTCTTTTTAAAAATGGGTATCGGCCTTAAAAAACCATATCGGTCAGCCTCTACTCCCTATACAGCGCGGTATTTTCTAAAGGATGGTGGATCAGGAGTCGGCAGCTACTTCGGGAGGAAATTACAAGTTTAAATGTAAGTCAACAAATTGTGGCTATCGGGCTGAAATCTGAAATGATTTTTTATATCCAAAGCAGTTAGCTATGGTTGGTTAGTTGCAGCCTCTGTGGCTAGCAGGTAGTAACTCCCCAGCATATTTAGTTTAACCAACATATACACAATTTAAAAAGTTAAAGGCTCATTATATATTTATACAGAAACTTATATGTATAAAATAAAACGTTATCTCCCGTGTCACGTGACAGCACATGGCCGCGGCATCCACGGAGGTTGCCTGATGTTCCATTTAACTGCTTTCTTTGACCAAGAAAGGCCAGTGTCCTCGTAAGCAAGGCGCCTGGCCTCACAACACACCGCCTTGCGAGGCCAGGCCATATAAGCACCCACAGTTTCAGAGATGCGTTGATGTGGTTACCATGGTGCACTAATGAGCCACTGGCAGCTGTTTTAACGTTTCCTTTTTGGATTCTCTTCACACTTTAAGGAATTGTTTCAGCTGAGGTCATTACAGATCTGCTACTATAACTTAGGTCTCTGCAGGTTTTACCTTGGCCGGTGTCTCATGTCTCTCTCCAGCTCGGATCCGGAATCAGAGCTGCTCTCTCTCTCTTGGTTCCGCTTTTTCTTTTTACTTTTATGCTTTTTGTGTTTCTTCTGTGAGCTGCTGCCTCCGGCCGGCTTGTCTGGACTTCCCCGTCCTTCCTCTGGTTCCCTGTTGAAACCCACTGCTTTAGCTCCACAGCTGGAAACAACAGGAAGACACAACGCTCCACAGATGTGCAGCATACAACGAGTCTTTTAATTACACACGTCGCCATTTAAACAGTCACCTCCTCTCACATCCCCATTAGCGGCACCCCGTAAAGCCTCCCAGCAGTTGTTTTATTTACGTTTAATAAATGATCATGTGGACCAGCAGAGCACCAATCCCACAGCCCCAGCACCCTCATACAAACAACACAAACACGTACGCTTTATCATCCTTCTGGTCTTCAATCTCTCTGATCTTATTCAAAATAAATTCTTGAAAAATTTGTTCGATGTTGGCCGCCATGTTTTACTGTGCAACTGTTAAAAAGGTCCGAGTAGGAACGAGAGCCAAACGCAGAGCTCAGGTAAAGGCACTCTTCTGCCCCCTGCTGTCTGTTTCTAATTTAAACTGTGAGTGTCTGCAGATGGAGCGTATTGGCATGTATTTGTTAACATACATAGGGTGACCATATTTCCATTTCCACAAAAGAGGACAGGAGGTCTGTGCCTAACGATGACGTCGCACTGTGGCAACACCACACAAACCACGTTAGGATGCATTTTTTTCCCGGTGAAGAGCTAAAATTAATATCAGATTCTTCCAACAAAAGGGCTCTAAAACAATTCATATGTAAATATTTTGCATATTTATTGCAAAATCAGGCGTCAGAGAGGTGAAATCACCACAGCACACAATGAGCTAAGCGCGTCAGGAACGATTAAAGACAGAATACCAGAGGATATAAACACATAAGAACAATCATGTGTCAATAATAATGTTTTGTTGCGCCCCTTTGAGAATGTATCGTGTGCGGGACGCAGCGGGCGCACCAACGATCAGCACTCTGCGTCCTCTCCACTCAACAGAATCCTGCTACGCTGAGAGTCCATAAATATTGTAATATAGGCAGAAACTGGATCTGTCCCTGAAAGATGTCTAGCCCTCCATAATTCGATCTCTGCTCCTGGATGAAAAACCGGGAATTTTGATCAATGTATTGAACACTTGTTTAACTCCATAACATGAAATTAAGGTCAATAATATAACAGATCACAAAATCTTCAGTTTTACTAAAAAAGGTTGAAGCAAAAATGAAAACACCCCACAACAAAAACAGCTACATCTAGTATTTTGTATGACTGAACACAGTATATGCTGATGACTGTCAGGTATAGTGGGTACAGAAATTAGTCAGACCTCCGTCAATTTTTTCGCTCTGCTATATTGCAGCTATTCGCTAAAATCTATGCAATTTATTTTTCCTCACCCTCACCCCATTTTAACAAAAATACAGAAATTTAGAGATTTCTGCAGTTATTAAAATAGACAAACTGAAATATCACATGGTCCTAGGTATTCAGACCCTTTACTGTGACACTCATATATTTAACTCAGGTGTTTTCCATTTCTTCTGATCATCCTTCATATGGTCCTACGCCTTCACTGGAGTTCAACTATGTTTGATTATACTGATTGGACCTGATTATATAAGACCTTACAGCTCACAATGCATGTCAGAGGAAGTGGCAGGTGGGTAGAGGGCTTGCGGTAGTGCCGTTGTCGCGGGATCGGACGCTGGCTGCAGCAGCCAATTACCTGGTGGCGGTTTGGATTGGCCGGGCGGGGAGTTTTGGAGGATCGGCCGACGGCCTGTAAGGTCTGGTAAGACGGTGTTCCAGCTCTGTGCTCGTTCAATCTTTTCGTGTGTTTATGGGGAAAAAGTCTGCTGGGGTGATTCTTCTTCAGATGGTGTGAGGGTGGACGGCCCGGTCAAGTTGATGAGGGTCGGTGGAACTGGTGGTTCGGACATGGTTGTTCGTTTGCGTGTGTCGGATGGTGGTAGTTTTTCTTCTTTCATCCCATTGCGGTTGTCTCGGGAACTGAAAGAAAAAGGTGGTGATGTGGTGGATGCGACTGTCTTGCCAGGCGGGGTGCTGTCTGTTGTGTGTCGAACGGAGGCCCAGCACGCTAATGGGCTCGACACACGGGAGGCGACATCGCCTCTCCATTCATTTTCAATGAGGCATGCACGACAAAGCGATAATCGCGGGTCTCCCTCCTACCAAGCGAAATGCGAAAAACGTGCGTGTGAAATTTGGCGCTCGTGCACGTGTCGTGCATAGGCGACCCAGCGACGCGATCCCAGAAAGTTGAAACATTTTCAACTTTTCATCGCTGTCGCTCGGACGAGGACCAATCAACGGAGGTTTCATTCACTGACCAATGAGCGGACAGGAAGCTCTGTACATCTCCGAGCAAACATGGAGAAGTTGATTATTATTATGTTTTATATAGTAAAATCAGAAGTTAGATTTCACATAACTCTAGCAGCACCTTATGAAACATCATATCTACCGCTTTATTAACTCTGAACCGCTTAAATAACCTCAATTCCCTCCAACCTGACACAGCCAAACAAAACAACGGAAGTTTCGATTTTGTCATGGAACAGAACGCGTAGACGGCTTTGCCGCTGGCCGCTGCCGCGGATCGCCTCCGATGTGTCAGGTAATAAAAGCGACAGTGACAAATTTCGCTGATCGCGGTTGTTTGTTGCCTCCCGTGTGTCTAGCCCATAAAATGCTTAAGCGTAAGCATTTTTTTGGATGTTGCTGTGGTTGTGTCATTGCTTAGTTCTGCTTCTGGTGTTCAGGGGGTGATTGACGGGGTTCCGAATGAAGTCTAGGAAGCTGAGCTGTTGGACAACCTGAGGAGACAATCCTTTGTTTGAGACACAAATACTCTGTTATTATTTACCTACACACAACATCTCTTACTCCCTCTACCACATCCCTCCTAGAGAGCTGAGGGACATAACACAGCAAAACCAACTTTGTGGGGTGGATCTTGGCCTTGAGTGTGTCATGGTTAAGGTGTGGACTGGCCAAGGGGTTGTGTTGCTTCTTAACTTTTATAACCCTGGCGGGGCTCTGGCCAGACGGGCGCTTCGGGGTCTGTTGGTTGGAGGTGCTGGGTCGGTGTTGGGTCAGTTTTTCTAATCTCTAATTTACCTCTGGGATTAATTAAGTATTGATTGATTGATTGATTTATGGGTGGGTGATTTTAATGCACATAGTGTTCTGTGGGGGGCTGGTAGGACTGACAGGAATGGTGAGGTTTTGGGGGAGGTTTTAGAAGACTCTGGGTTGGTTGTGCTGAATGACAGTCGGCCCACTCATTTTGGTAGGATTGGTAATTGTTCTTCGGGGTTGGATTTGACTATTGTTTCGGCTGACTTGGCTGCGGTAGCTTGTTGACGGGAGGTTCTGTCTCACCTGACCATGGGGAGTGATCATTTTCCAGTGCTGAGCGGCTTTGGAGGGATCGGTTGTTACAACCTGACTCCCTGGTGTTGGGGTTTAATTTTAGGCGGACGAGTTGGTCCCTATTTACGGAAGGTTTGGATGACGCTATCTGTCGGGTAAGGGGGGCAGGGGACGTGGACGATTGGTATGCCGCAGTTGCTGGGTGTGTTCGGACTGTGGCGGAGGCTCGTATTCCTAAAAATGGGATTCTTGTTGGTCGGTCTATGGTCCCGTGGTGGACTGAGGCCTGTAGTTAGGCCATTCAGGCTAGAAATAAGGCTTTTAGGTATTTTAGGAGGCATCCTATGGAGTCCAACGCTTTGGTCTATAAATGACTGAGGGCGGTGGCTCGAAGGAGGGTGAGGGAGGCAAAGAGGGATGGATGGAGAACCTTTTGTAATGGCTTAGGGCCACGGGCCTCTGTGCGTTCCTTGTGGGGCTTGGTCCGCAGGATGTCCGGTGCTCGTGTGAGGCACGCGGTGCCTGTGCTTCACGTAGGGGACTGTGCGGCTTTCGGAGATCGGGAGAAGGCAGACCTTTTGGTGACGCATTTCCAAAGTGTCCATAGTTCGGCAAATGTTTCGGCTGAGGACTGTGCTCTGCGGGAAGGGTTGGTGCGGGGTTTTGCTGGGGATTTGTGGGGGGGATGGGGACGGTCCACGGGATTTGAACCTCTTTTTTCTGGAGCACCTGGGACTGAGCTCATCTATGTGTCAGTGGATCTCCAACTTCCTAACTGGCAGACCACAGGCAGTAAGGATGGGCGGACATGTCTCAGCCTCCACCACTCTCAGCACTGGAGCCCCCCAGGGGTGTGTTCTAAGCCCCTGCTGTACTCTTTGTACACATATGACTGTGTGGCCAGTACCAGCTCCACCACCATCATTAAGTTTGCTGACGATACCGTCGTGGTGGGCCTGATCTCTGACAACAACGAGGCGGCCTACTTGAAGGAGGCTAGGAATCTGGAGACCTGGTGCCAGAGGAACAACCTCCTTCTAAACGTCAGTAAAATGAAGGAGTTGATAGTGGACTTCAGCACAAAGCAGGAGAGGAACTACCAAATCCCAGTCATCAACGAATGCCCAGTGGAGAGAGTGAGCAGCTTCAAAAACCTCAGTGTTCACATCACGCAGGACCTGTCATGGTCCTGTCACAACCGTGGTGAAAAAGGCCCGACAGCATCTCTACTACTTCAGACACTTGAGAGACTTCCGACTGCCCCCCAGGGTGCTCAGGAACTTTTACTCGTGCACCATAGAGAACATCCTGACGGGGAACATCATAACCTGGTTCGGGGACAGCACCATGCAGGACAGACGAGCTCTACAGAGGGTTGTACGATCAGCTGAGCGCACCATCCGCTCCGAGCTCCCTGACCTGCACTCAATCTACAGCAGGCGGTGCTGGACCAAGGCCAGGAAGATCGTGCAGGACCTCAGCCATCCGAACAACAGATTGTTCTCTCTGTTGAGGTCAGGAAAGCGATTCCGCTCCATGAGGACCAACACAGAGAGACTGAGGAGGAGTTTCTTTCCGCAGGCGATACGGTCTTTAAATCACAACACCACATAGTAAGTGCCCACACATATGGTTCTCACACACACTGGACAGTCTGGACTTTGCTTAAGCATAGTTGAACTGCAAAAGTCACTTACAATGTGGTTTGCACAACTCTGGACATTAAATATATATTTTTTTCATTTCCATTTAATACTTGTTCAGCTGCTGTTATTGTATAGATATTTTTATTTCTTCATATATTCTTATACATCTCCATACTGTGTATTTTGCAGTACAGTAACTTTATTCTCAACTTCAACTTATATATATTTTATCTTATTCCTTCCCAGCTAAATTTACCTTTTATTCCAATTTGTATTGTATTGTGTATTTTGTTATAAAGCTATTCTATTATTCAACTTTATTTCAGATATATTTTACCTTACTCTTTCCCAGTTAAACTTACCCTTCATTCTAATTCGTGATGTACAGTTATTTTATTTTCAACTCTTAGGTCACGAGCAGTTGTGTAAGGCAATTCACTGCATTTCGTACTGTGTATGACTGTGTATGTGACAAATAAAGTTTAAAATTTGAAATTTGAAATGCTTCACCCTCCACAATGCCTCCACTAGAAACGCCAGAAACTGTCTCTTATCCCTCACAACCACCATCCCCTCATCCAACACCACCAGTAGACTAAGACCCAGCACAACGCCCCGATGCTCCACCACCCCAAACCCCACACAACGCACCTCCTCAGCATAAGAAACCTCACGCTCCGCCTGATACCTTTCCACCTCCACTGCTGTCCTATACGACACACAACCTCTATAAGCCGCTTGATGAGCCCCACCACAATTACAACAGCGGAGCGGAAGATCACAAAGCTTGCCCTCACGGTCGCCCCCACACCTCCGACACCTCAACCCCTCCACACAGACTCCGGCCACATGACCAAAGCCCTGACACTTAAAGCACCTCAAGGGAGGCTCCTCATAAGCCCTAACTGGGAAACTAAGATAGCCCAACTTGACACGAGCCAGGAGCTCCACTGCGTCAAAACTAATTAACAACGGAGTGGACCCATGCTTATCACAACCCAAATGCCGCACCGCCACCTCACCACTCAGGGCATCTACCACCTCCACCTCAGTAATGTTATTAGAGACACCGTAAACCACCCCCTTAACCAATCCACCAGACCACGACTGAGACTTCTACACTCACCCCCAGGAACTTCTCAAGCTCCAGGGCCCGGTGGAGCTGGATCTTCGTTCTGCAGACCACCACTAACAACCCACCAAAAACAACCATTGCATCTGTCACATCACCAATCATCCCTCTCAGCTCCCTGGACACTGCCAGCGGGTTAGTGGTAGGAAAACGCGCCCCACCCGCCACACGTATGCGGACCACAAAGCCCCCCTCTGCAGTCCTCAGCCGCGGATCACTGCCCCCACGGTCCCGCTTTGCCGCCCCAGTCACAACTGACTGAACAGTCTTACTTGCTCCCCTCCGCCCCATCCTCCACCACAACTGAGGCCGAAGCAAAGCCGGACCGCCATCTTACCAGGCCTGTACAGGCCGTCAGCCGACTACCCAAACTCCCCCCGAGCCTAAACTGAACTGACAAGCCACAACCAAACACACCGGTCCAAATCAAGACTTCCTCCTCTGGCAGGGAGTTGGTGGTTAGCTTGGTATATGTGGCAAGGTGGAGAAATGAGGGCCCGGATGGGATTCGATCCCCAGACTCCCAGGTGAAAGTCATGTGCGCTAACCAGTCAGCCAAAGGGACAACCCCTTGGCCAAGTAGCCAAGGCGCATCATCAATCGGGACACTGTGACAGGACGCTCACACTGCCACATCTTCCCCCCACTTTCCACGAGCTTGTCCTCGTGCTCCCGCGCAGGGTGCCACAACCTTCACATCCATGGACCTACTTGACAGTACTACATGGATCCTGCCAACGCCAAATGTGGCAAGGTGGAGAAACGAGGGCCCGGGCTGGATTCGATCCCCAGACTCCCGGGTGAAAGTCACGCGCGCTAACCAGTCAGCCAAAGGGACATCCCCTTGGCCAAGTAGCCAGGGCGCATGATCAATCGGGACACTGTGACAGGACGCTCACACTGCCACATCTATATAGCAGGTGAAACAGGTGAGAAGCATGAGCTTGATTACTGGGAGCAGGTGTGGCAGATGAGTCTAAGGAGAGCAGGCTGGGGTTGTCATGGAGATGAGGGCGGGCAGAGCTGGATCATGACAAAAAGATCTCAAAATGCAACACATCATGAACTGTTCTGAAGAATGTCAAGAGAAAAAGAACCAGAAGAACACCTAAAGCCCTTCATGTCTTACTTGGTCCAGGTTTAAGTCACGGGGTTAAACACAAATAACTTCTATCAGAGGTCCAAAACTAGAACCTCTACTGACCAAAAACAACACAAGACCCATCTCAAAACGTTTACAAAGAAAAACATCTTGATGACCTCAATGACTTCTGGGTACATGTAAATATTTTTTAGGACTGATGAAACTGAAAGGTGTATCCTGTTCTATCTAGAGAAAGACCAACAAAGCTAGACATGGTGGTGGAAGTGTGATGGTCTGGGCTGCTCTGCTGTTTCAAGACCTTAACCACCTGCTTTATCTGATGGAACCATTGAATGCTGACCTCCTGCAGAAAAATCTTAAGGAATGTCTGACCTTTGACCTTGAACACTTTATCACATCACTGGCTGTTCATGTTAGGAAAAGCTCATTTATGGCTGAATTCAGACATTTCAGTAGAGAAGTGTAGCGGTCACACTTTAAAGCGTGACGACTGCAAATTAATTATGACCAATAAGATGTGATCATTCCATATAAATATATAAAATATAAATCTGATTGATCTTTGAAGTTTAACCAGAAGATTCTAGGGTTATTTGCTTGTTCAAGGACCATAAACACATGTCGTATTAATTCAGACAGTCAAGTATATAGTTAAAAAGGAATTTTATTATTTTCTAAACTAATGATTGACACAATATGAATAATGAGATGTGATGGAGTGAATATGCGGTGATGGAATGTGATGTGTAGGTGGTGTGATGTAAGTTAGATGTTGATCAGAACCTTTGTATCTGAAAGAATTTGTTGTCTGCTATAAACTAAAGAGTTGATTATTAATAAAACAGCATCAGACGCAATCTGTTGTGTCAACAAACCCTGGCGGAGACCCCCAGCAGATCCGGACTGTCAGAAGTTGGGTGGACTTCACGGCACCGGGATTTCAGATTAAACTCTGATACGACCTGTCCAGTCTTGAGTTGTCTCCAGGTCACAACAGCAGCTGGAATGCTTGTCTGCGTCCAAAGTGGATGTGGCTCTTAGGGAGACGTCTGGCATGCATACATGTCCAAACCAAGACCTCCTGTGCGACAATCAGATCACAATCTTGTTTTTCTCTGCTCAGAATACAAACACTTGTTCAGAGGCAACCTGTGACAAGAACTGTGAGAAAATGGTTACAGGATGCTGAAGAAGCCCTGCAGGGTTGTTTTGAGACCACAGATTGGATGACTCTCCGCCAAGGATATGAAGAGGACATCAATGCCATGACTGGATGTGTCACTGACTATATAAACTTCTGTGTGGACAACATCATACCCACCAGAACAGTGAGATGCTTCGCTAATAACAAACCCTGGATCACCAGTGAACTGAAGAATCTGCTAAATGATTCATGTGAACAAAACAAAGGAGATTATTTTAGACTTCAGAAGAAACAGGGTGGAATGAAACACTTTCCATCATGGGAGAAGAAGTGGAGGTGGTTGAAGAATACAAATACCCTGGAGTTCACCTGGACAACAGACTGGACTGGAGAAAGAACAGCGAAGTTGTTTACAAGAAGGGACACAGCAGACAGCACTTCTTGAGGATGCTTAGGTCCTTCAACGTCTGTAGCAAGATGCTGCAGATCTTCTACAAGTCTGTTGTTGAGAGTGTAAACTCTTCAGCCATCATATATTGGGGTAGTAACATCAGAAGCAGGGACCTGAAAAGGCTCAACAGCCTAAAAAAAGGCTGGCTCTATTCTGGGGACGACTGTGGAACCACTAGAGGAGATAATGCAAAAGATTCTCCAGGAAATCAAGAAAATTATGGACAACCCTGAGCATTCTCTTCACAAGACTGTCCAACAATGGAAGAGTGTCTTCAGTCAGAGGCTTCTTCAGTTTCACTGCAACACTGACCGCTACTGGAGATCCTTCCTGCCAACAGCCATTGTAATATACAATAACTCTTTGATGACTTGATTATTATTATTATTCTGAGCTACTACAGCAATCAATTTCCCTCTGGGATTAATAAAGTATTTTTGAACTGAATTGAATTGAATTGAAAGGAACACACAAAAACCTGACTAAATATGATCTTCTAGGTCTAGGATTCAAAAATCAACATTTTCTGGAGCCCAGAGTAGTTGAAGCACCGCGGCACAGATGGATAACAGATTCATTAAAGGGTTGTTTCAAAGAGAAAACTGTTTGCATACAGAGATGACTTTATTAAAGTAGAGAAGAGTTAATAAACATTCATATTTAAAGTCTGGTGCGCTGTACAGGAGAGTGAGGGGGCGGGGCAGAAGCTCAAAACTTTGGTACATTCTGGTTAATCAGACATCTTGTAGTGCATTCAGTCAGTGGAACGTGTTGGAGTGAATCTGAAACGTAACGTTTACAAAGTATTCAATCTTGTAAAGTGTAAACCAGGAGAAACATGGCCTAGAAATCATGTGTTCATGCCGACTCTGTCTGATGGCAGTGTGTACTGTCTTTGGTTGCATGGTGGCAGGCTCCGCCCCCTGCAGGAACAAGACTGCTAAAGACAGTCCAGCTGGAGAAGCTGAACAACCAAGATGGAAATATGAGGAAAAAGTGGAAATTTGATCATTTTGAGACAAATGAACCTCAATTAGTGATAAACACACGTAAAAATATTTATCTGATTATTTTCCCGTGTAGTTTAGTTTCTGAATGAAGAATTCATTTGCAAAAACAGATAAAAGCCATTTTGATCAAAATCACCCCACTATATTTTGACCGAAATCACCTGAAATAAATTATAAAATTAAATGTTTTTAAATTTATAAAACGGGAGTTATACGTTTTTGCAAATGAAGTTAAGTCACGTGACAGAAGACGAACAGAAACAACACACCTGCCTCTGCTGGAGGAGAACCGACTACTCTGTAAACGGAGTCCTGTAGAAAAAAGTTATGGTTTTATGAAGAACACAATCTCAGATCAATCTCCCCTCCACGTTCAGACGAGCGGTGCAACGGTGCTCTCTCTCTCTCTCACACACACACACACACACAGACACACACACACACACACAGACACACACACACACACACGCACGCACGCACACACACACACACACACACACACAGCTGGGTTACACGAGTGTGCAGAAGAAAGCCACTTTCACCCATGCACTAATTCTCATTAATATTTCAATTACTCCCACAGGCGCCTTCCATGACATCACTCTAAACATGCCCGATCTGTCGTCATGGTAACAGACATGAACACACATCCGCTGTTTGATGGAACCTGATGGTTTGATCTTATTTGTGTAACGAAGCTGAAGCTAATAATGACATAGCGAATCTCGACCAATCAGCACGAGTGTGATGATTTGGTTTTTTCTGAGGTGAGGCTGATCGTACAGAAAAACCCACTCCACGCAACGAAACCACAAAGTTTGGTTACATTCAGGTCACAACGTGTCACGGCCACATCATTTAAAAAAACACCTCCTGTAGATGAAAATATCGTCATTTAATACAAAAGCTTCTGACCTGACTCCAAGACCAGCTGTGGGTTAAGTCCAGGTTAAAAAAATCCCACAAACATGAATGAACTCAGGAGGTCTGTGCAGTTACCAAACCCGACCACTGGAGGGAGCACTGCTAGGCAATCCCTGAAGCTTCCTGCTGTCCACATTCACACAGACTAGAAGACGAATGCTGAGTTCTGCTAATGTGGACCTGACTGGTCGGGTCCGACGACAGTCATGAAGGCAGTGCGGGTCGTGCACACACAGGTCAAAGCGTGCGTTGCTCAGTAGGTGAGGAATGTGTGAAAGTGCAACAGAAAACGTTAAACGGGAAACATCTCAAAAGTTCAGTTTAGACCAAGAACAATCATGAGCAACAAAACAGATTCTGATAACTTAAACAGACAGAAGTGAGCTTTACGTGAGAATCACTGACTCCAAAGTCACATGTTACCCTTTAACCAATGAGTGGTGGAACGTCTCTAAAGGAACACCAAGTGATGTTGGACACTGGAGGCCATCTATGAGTGAAGAAATAAGTCATGCTACATGTTCTATCATCTAAGATGGCCTCCTCTCAACAGCCAATCTCATTCCAGTCCAAAGGTGCTGGTCTCCTCCACAGCGGTCAGCATCTTCTCATACAGCATGGAGAAGGACTGGTATGGAGGCAGGTCCAGCCGGTTGAAGCAGGTGTGAGCTCTGAAGAGAAGATCAGATTGTGTGGTTAGATACTGTGTAAGAACATAGAAGGACACAGTCATAGCACTATACCTCAAACCGAGTACAAGTACAGGAACGTGAGTACACGCTGATGTGTAACTGGAGAACCTAGCCACATTCACATCTGGGTCGGCATGGATCAGACCCGGAAGGGTAAGTTTCGTTCACATCTGGGTCATCGCTGCGTTTTCCTGTTCGTCCTGACTCTTTTCTCCAGAGCTTCTCCGGAGGTCCAGCCGGAGCCGATGTGGCCCAGTCTGCACATTAGGGATTGATTGGCTGGCTGAAATTCACGTCTACCGCCTCCGATAGGTGAGTAGAATCAGCCAGCGAGGACTGTTTATCTCATTGAAGACACTGCGGACTTTCCCGCGCGTCTTTAATGCCGCCTACGTGTTGAGGGACTTCTGCTTTCCTGGGAAACGTATATGAAGAAAAACCGCCCGTTTGAGACCGAACCGATGTGATCCTCCCCGGCCGTACTGACCCAGATGTGTACGCAGCTGTGTAGGGGTGTCACCGCACACCTGTGTCATGGTTTGGTCCATCTCTTGGTGTAATGGTGATGCTCTGGTACTGGTACATACCTTGTTTCTAGAGTTATGTATCACCCGTACCTCCTTCTAAAGATCCCTGTTTGGTACGTGCCATGTTCATGGTTCAGGGTCATCCTCAAACTGAGAACTTTGTCACAATCATGCAGGGCAATAACAAAAGTATGAGTCACATCAATCACCGGGGCAGCGAGGTGACTTTCCCCCACTTCTCCACACAGAACCTGCGCGGGCCGTTGCTGCCTCTCAGAGATGCAAATCCCTCGTAAGGAATGCTGGACGTCCCGGTTACGAACTGAGGAGGAGGACACAGACATCGTGAAGACACGGACCTGCGACCCAGGTCAAACATTGCGTGCTTTGTTTAGGTAAATGTGGGGCAAACAAGCACACCTGGAGGAGCCTCAGCCTCTGCTCGTTGTTGAACCTCTCCACTGCTGCCCAGAACCAACGGATCACTATGTGGTTGTCATGGTAACCTGAACATAACACATCAGAGGTATGAAGATCAATCTGACCCTCTACCTCGCTGTTACCAGGGATCCCTACCTCCTCTGTACTCTGTGTTTTTCCTCCAGTCTGATAAGTCGATCTCAGCGGTTCCAGCGATCACCAGCTCCAGCTCCCTGGCGTCGAACACAGACACCAGCCTGGCGTCCACCACCTGGAACAGCACACGTTTATCATAAAGGTCTAGTTACGTACGAGGTAAAGGAACGGACTCTGAAGCGTACCTCGTAGAAGCCTCTGACCAGGCTCTCAGTCTGCTGCACCACTCCTCTCTCTATTCTCCACTTCACCATTCGTTCAATGTACTCCTTCTTGTTTTTCTCTGAGACGGGGATGTTCCCTCCACCAGGCTTCAGCTCCCTCTCTGTTATCTACAGGAAGTATATTTAAATTCATACTCAGCCTTCTAAATGATTATTTCTGTTTAACTCTTTAAAAGCAAGTTCATTGAGAGACGCTTTTTATTTGTTCCTACTGAAATACGATCGGTAGCTCAGAGTAGAGCCCTGCACGGGCCTAAAATCTGAGCCCGTGTCCGGCCCGGCCCGAGGGGGTGGAGCCCCAGCCCGACACGGTCCAAAAAGGTTTTCAGGATTCTCTGGCCCGGCCCGACCTCTGCTCTGACTTACGTCTACCTCCTTAAACAGGAGCACCGGAGCTTTCTCCCCACAGACATCCACTCACAAGGCATTCATTTATACTAGAGACCATCGCAAATGTGCTGAAAGAAACGTGTAAACTTGGTCTTTAAAGGGGCATTATGGAAGTTTGACAGCCAAAACATGTGTAGAAATAATAAATAAATCTTTCTGTAGAACTTTCTTCTAAGATTAAGCAATTTAGCAACAAAATAGCCATTTTCGCTCCGAACCGTTCTTTGATCGCTGTTTCAGCTGTCATCAAGGATATAAATGTTACAGATACAAAGGACATCAGTGGCGCTTTAGCTCACCCAGTAAGACATCGGACTCTCATGCAGAAGACCTGGGTTTGATTCTGGATGTGAACATAGTTTCTTTTTTACATTAATGGTATATTTTTTTACAGTAAGATGCCCAAATTTTTATTTGAGACTCGCCGAACGGCATTGAATTCACGGATAAAAAAGATGTGGGTTCAACTTTCATTTTGGAACAATTTTTCAAGCAAGGGAAGGGAATGATCTGAGCATGCAGGAGGACTGACCCATCATAAACCTTTGTTGGCTGTGCTGAAGAGAAAAGTACAGATCCAAATTATTTAATTAATTAGCTGCGCGTTCTCCTGTCCTCTGTCCTCCGAGTCGCGCGCACACACACACACACACACACACACACACACACACACACACACACACACACACACACACACACACACACACACACAAGGGATTGTCTCAGCTGTTATTTTCGTTAAGGAGTGTGCACGTACAGCATGTGCGCCTCGTGCACGAGCCTACTATTGAAGCTGCCGTTACGTTTTTGGCCTGAGGGGGCAATCGCGAGCATAAAAATTCAAAACTCCGTAAAGTCCCTTTAATAATTCTCACCTTTTCTGTTTCACCACATAAACACCTCTAAAACTGTTTTTATTTATGTTGGGTGTTGTCCCCAACAACAAAGGCCTCAAAACCCAACAGGAAATCTCAGTTCTGAAACTCAGATTAGTCTTCAGAGGATCGGTAAAGCTAACACACAGCGTATCCGACCTGTCCAAAAACCTCTTCGTTGACGGTGAAGGTGAGGTCAAGCATGTCCTCTATGTCGTTGTCCTTCATCCACTGGAGGGATTGGTGGAACTCCTCATCCAGATACTCCAGGTCACTCAGGTCACAGGGACTAAAGGGTAGAAAAACAAGACTCAGTGCATGTGTCCATGCACTTTTATGTGGATGTGAATCCATGGTGGACCAACATACATGCGCAGGAGGCCTTTATAGAAGGGTCTGGTGAAGAAGGCATCTAGAAGGTACTGATGGATCAGAGCCAGACCCAGGATGCGGCCACTGAAGCGGAACCTGACACACACACACACACACACACACACACACACACACACACACACACACACACACACACACACACACACACACACACACACACACACACACACACACACACACACAAACAAAGTTGGCTTTATTTTTTTTACGTGTTCAGGGGAAAGGTGTCCAACAGCAGCCACAGACAAACTCACCATTCATGGTGATTGTCTACAAAGGCCGACATGGGGCTGATCTGAACAGTGTAGGTGTCATTGGCAGAATATTCAAACAGACCATAATAAGGGTTAAACAGCTCTCTAGAAACCAAGAAGAAGAATTCCCTGGAAGGCCCACTGTAGTCCAACCTGCAACACATGAAAACAGAGATTCTCTTCCTCCAAACCAGCCTTTTTCATCCCTTCTCCTGCCAGCTTCATGCCCCCCCCCCCCAATTACTCACCCCTCCTCGCCCGCGAAGCTGACGTAGAACTTGCTGCGCTGAAGGTCTTTGCGGGAGTAGCACATGATCTGGTTGAAAGCATCTTCAAGAAGGTGGTCACGCCGGATGCTCAGTCTTAAGGAACACAAGGAAACACATTCAGAACTTAAACCTAAAATCCTTCCCAGAACCAGACAAAATCCACCTACTTTAGCTTCCCTGGTCCTTGGCCATAGCCTTTGGTTTCTAGTTTCCTGTAGAAGTTGCGCAGTTTTGCCTCAAAGTCTCTCTTGTAGGGTGCTGGGGCTCTGGCATTCGCTCTCTGGGTCCCTACAGCCAGGAGGAGAGAAGAATAATGAGTTTTAAAAACTACTGTTTTTGCTTCGTCAGCATCGATTTTCAATCAACATAGGTACTTTAGGAAAAATCAATTCACTTTATGAAAAAATCTCTAAATGTAGAGAAAAGTAATGAATTAGTGTTGATCTCCTTCAGCGTCGACGTTGTCTGGTTTCCAATATTCAAAAAGCTGCTGCAGCCTCCGAGCACTAGAGGGCACCAAATGGGCTTCACTACCACTGAGCTTTAGAATACTTAGGTGGAAGAAAGTCTTCGGTTTGTGAGTCACAAGTCTCAAGACTTCCCATTCAAGTCTCCAGTCAAGTCAAGTCTAGACAAGTCCCAACTCAAATCAGCAACCAGGACAAGAAAGTCTCTAACCAAGTCAAATACAATTCCTTTGGTATTGTCAAGTCAAAGTCCAAAGGCAAGCAAGTCCCGGGTCAAATCCCAGACCCAACCTTTGAATTTTGACTCCTAAACAAATAATCTGACCGTATCTGGGAAATGATAAATAATAACAAAAATCTGACAGATGCAGTAAAGGAATCTGAACTTGTTCATTAAAACTGAGTGACATGAGCAACAAGCTCAAGTCCGAGTCCCATGACCAAAGCTCTGCTTTAGAACAACAGAGCTATCCGCGTTCACATCTTTTATGGGAAAACGCCTCCGGTTAAAGTTCTGGAATAAGACAAACGTTGGTCAAGCATGGCCCCAAACAGATGCATTCACTTGATGATAGCGATGCACCGATTTGAAACGTTTGGGCCGATACTTATATCACTGTTATGGCTGATAAGCAATATTTGCAGATACAGATTTAATAACATTAATGCTTGTAAAAGCAGCAGATTTTGTATTGAATGAAAATGATTAAAGCTGAATTTTTATATACACACACCAAACACATTTACGCTTCTGAGATGATTACAATCACTGTCACATGACTAAACAATCACACACCATCCCCCTCACCCTCTGAAACAGATAAACAAATGGAAACAAGACGGAAAAAAGTTGTTGCTAATATCAGCCCAGGTTTATTTATCAGACCGATGCTGATTAACATCGGCCGATACCGATGTTGATGCCAATTTGTTGTGCATCCTTATCTGATAGGATCCATGCTCATCAGACACGAGTTAGGGGTTGGAGCTGTTAAACAACCCGTAACCAGGGCAGAAAACGAACGACACAAGTGGGTCATAACTCCGTGTAACAAAAGTCCACATCCGGACCGTTAGTATCTGTAAAATTATGATTTAAAGTAGGAAGTTGTTATTATAATCTTCCTATTTTTAGGGCTTTCTATGTTAAAGTAGCATTTTTAGGGAATTTGTGCTTTTCCATAAGGAAAAAAGTAAAAAGAAGCAAATGAACTCCGGCCACATTTGTGATTCCTCCAGTCTGATATTTTATTTATCCCACATCCCATAATGTGCTTGTGGCGTTTACCGGGTGAGTTCTGTGGGGAGGAAACAGGGGAGCCCCGAGGTGACTGGCAGTAGCTGGGGTGAAGTAAGGCATGAGGAGGCACGTAGGACATGACCTCATCTTCAAACAGGCTGAGAGAGACGGAGAGAGGACAGAAGGGGGTCAACTCCAGACAGCAGCTCAGAGCGAAAACACGAAAACAGTCCAGAGCAGGAATCTAGTAGAAGGTCTCACCTCAGCAGCATGACGAGGTCAGCATCTCCCGACAACCTGTTCACTCCTGACACTCCATCAGTACGAATCAGCTGGACCTTCTCCCTGTTACCACGGCAACATTGCATCCATGATAAAATATGCAGATCTTTTACAGCCTGTTTCACACAAACAGTCTCACTTCCCTACCCGTTCTTCTTGTATTTTGATTTGTAATTAAACTTTTTATATTTATTTTAATAGACTGAGAGATCTGGTTATGAGCTCCGACATCCAGGAGAGACTGAGTAGAGCTGCTGCTCCTTTATATCCAAGACTCCTCCCAGGGGAGGTGTTTCAAACGTCTTCTGCCATCAGATACTTAATCCTGAAGGACCTGAATTAGTTCTGGGAAAAGTCTTAACTTGGGTTTCACCAGGTGATGCTACGTTTTCTTGTGAGAACCTGCAGCTGTGTCTGTATCAGACTTTGACGACTATGACATTAAACCCACGAGTGAAAATAATCCCAGCCCGTTTGTACCTGAGCACGTGGTTCCGGCTGAAGTCAGGCTGTCTCTCCTGTAAAATTTCAAAGATGTTCGGTTGTCGGAGAAAAGCCACGATCTTATCGTTGTAGGCTGGATGTGACAAAACACAGGTTTTTATTACACTCCCGATTCTCGGGAAAAGGCCGGCTAAGATTAAATCCTCCTAACCAGCAGACGTCGTTAAATCCTAACAAAGCTGTGACTTGTACTGACCCACTGGGACAACGTCTTGGTACTGGCCCCGGTTTGTTGAGGTGAAGGTGCTTGGAGGTCTTGGTAGGACAGGAGGACCAGTATGACGAGAATCCTCGCCCGCCTAAGGAAGTAGGACAGCGAATGTGCGGACGTAGCGACTTTCAAGTACTCTGAATGCAGCATCACAGGTCTCACCAGTCGCCGTGGGCTGACTTCCCCCGCACTGTGGCTGCGCTGGCGGGTCAGGTGTTGGCGGTGGGTCAGGAGACTGGGGGGTCGAGAGCTCTGAAGAGGCAGCCGGGGGTCAATGAAGGTGGTGGCGCGGCAGTTATGGTCCACAAAGAAAGCCTGCGTAAAGGTGCAAACACATAAAGACCTGTGAACCGGCGGAGCCCGTCGGGGGGACGGAATTACCCGGACAACCCGGTGCATCGGCACCAACCTTGCCACTGTGGTCGTGCTTCATCTCCCAGCCTCTGGGCAGTTCCAGCTGTTTGTTAGCAAACATGTTGAGGAAAGCCACCAGGTCTCTGTTGTGCTGGTAGCGCTCAAAGTGGTGCGCGTCCCGATGGACTTTACTGATCATGTGTTTCAGACACGTGTTGGTGGTGAACATACGGTAGGCACTCTGAGAGGGACAAGAAAAATAAATAAAATTCACATCTTCAATTTATAGATTAAACTAGATTCACGTTTCCAGTGATCCGGATCTCTGGATCGCTGGATCTGGATGTGTCCAAATTCGGGGACTGCATCCTTCTGAGACTGCGTGCTAGGACTGATTACGTCGCAGCAATGCGACAAGAATGTCTAAATCCAAAGGCTATGAAAAATGTGTGCTTGTTTTTCACAAGAATGGGTACGGTGTAGGGATGTAAGAAAGTATCGATATGGCAATATATCGTGATATTTTTTCCCAGCAATATTATATCGATATTCAAAAGCCGTGTATCGGAAATATCGATATGGTAATATATTGTGATTTTTTTCCCTGCGATTATAACATCGATTTTCAAAAGCCGTGCATCTAATTCTTGAAAGAATTTACATGCAAACTTTTGAGTATTTTCTTTTCGTTTTGTGCAATTCAATCGCCACCCGCTAGTTGGCAGCAGTGTGCAATGGGTTTTGTTTCCACCATTGAAATGTAAATCCCTCCATCATGGTTCCGATACCTCATGTTAAACACGTTACGTATCAGTTTGGACTGTTTATTGAACATTCTTACAATAAATTCAGTAAAAAAAATTGCTTGTAACGTCTGAATGAATGTATCGCAATATATCGTGATGTATCGTATCGTCTCCCCTGTATCGTGATATGTATCGTATCGCCAGAATTTCAAAAATACACATCCCTGGTACGGTGCATCCTTCGAGGCCCACCAGGATCCTCTGCAGGCCGAATAGGAGATTTTTGTTCTTGTAAAAATGGCAGAAAATGATAGTTTTAAATGTAAGAACTTTAATATCTGGCAGAGCCAAAACTGAATGCTAAAAGCAACTGTGTTGTTAGACTTAAGTTGTTAATTTTATTTGATTTTTTTTTTTACATTTTTCTGTCAAAATCATAACAAAAATCCTCAAACAAGCTCGTTGGGCAGGTCCTGCAGTTTTTATATTTCGGCTAAGTTTAGCTGTAACTTCTGTTTAGTACCATCATGGCTGCTAGGCAACAGGACATACGCTGAAGAAGGGGTGGGAATAAATCTTATGGCTAGACAGTCCAAATTCAAAGCCGCTCCCCTCTGGTCTCAAAGGTCGACCCACGTGGAATAAGTCTTTACAAGGATGCTTCTAAAAGTGTCAACAGGTCAAAAAGGTGTACCAGATACCAAATGTCTCATAAAATTTGAACCCTGAAACTAGGTTGCCTGACAAAATCCCATACAACACTCAGTATAAGCCCAACTGAACCTGAGTTTCTTTTATTTATTTATTTTTTCTCCTTCTCTTCTTCTTTATGCTTTTAAGAATAGGCTTAAAACATTTTTATTTGATAGGGCCTATGGTTAAAATCTGATGTTAGCCTAGATCTGGACAAGTGGGGGAGTAGAGGGAGGTGGAGTGTACAGTCGGTAAAGACGGCTTTCCCTTGCCCAGCCTCCAACATGCCTCCATCTAAAAGGCTAGGTTATCCAGAGTTATCTCTGTAGTTATGCTGCTATAGGCTTAGACTGCTGGAGGACATACTGACCACTTTCCACACTCTACTACTTTCTTCTACAATCTGCTCTTTAACTGTGTTATTTTCTGCTATTTTAGCTGTTAACTTTATTTTTCCTCTAAGTGTTTTTCTCCCCAGAAGAAGCTACAATGATGTTCTGCTGAGCTGTGGTGGCCTCATGGAGGGGGCCATCGTCTAACACACTGTTGCTAACCACTTAAACATTATCCCTCTCCTGATAATAACATTCAACTTTCTTCGAAATTGAATGTGCTACTACTAGTTTACCCGTTTAATTTTTGATCCACTAGGATAAATACAATAAAGTTTATCTATCACCAAATAGAATATTTACTAAGTGAAGTGCCTTGAGACAACTCTTGCAGTGATTTGGCGCTTTATAAATAAACTTGAATTGATTGATATATATATATATATATATATATATATATATATATATATATATATATATATATATATATATATATATATAAATATCAAAGATGACAAGCTGCAGAGGAGCATGAGACCTTACAGGGTTGGAATGCAGCACAGTGAAGAAGTCGGAGCTGGTGAGGAACTTGGCGCTGGGGGACTGGAGCAGGAGTGAGATACGAGACCTGGAGGGGGACTGAGTTGTACTGTTGTCCCTACGGAGTTCTAACACACACACACACACACACACATTAGACAGTAAAGAGATGATAAACCCATGTTTTATTGGTCTGAATGGACAGATGGGGGTGGGGTACCTGGAACAGAGGGGTGCATGTCCGTCTCGTCCCCCGGCAACTCTGTGGCCGGCGGCTCCTCCAGTCTGTTGTCATTGGTTATCGTCCTACGTATGCTTTGATACCTGGACAGGTGTGGGAGGGTATTCAGGAATCACTATAATCCAGGTGGATGGAAACCAGTGTGTGTGTGTGTGCACTCTATACATCATTCTGAGAACCAGTGATGTACTTTACACTTGTGAGGACATTTTGCTTGGTCTTCAATTTGGTACAATGTAGAGGAATGGTGTGAAGAAAGCTTTAGTTAATGTTAGGGTCAGGAATAGACTGGTAATGGTTATGGTTAGGCGTAATTCAGTCACTAAAATAAATGGAAGTTAATGACAGTCCTCGTAATGGAGGCAAGACGATAATGTGTGTGTGTGTGTGTGTGTGTGTGTGTGTGTGTGTGTGTGTGTGTGTGTGTGTGTGTGTGTTCTGACCTGCGGTTCAGCTGTTCCATCTGTTGTATGGAGCTGGACCTCTGTAGGGTCTGCGGGGCGGGGGGCGCGGTGGGTCGCTGCCATGTGGTGGTTCTGTTGACGTGGTCCACGTAGAAGATGCGACCGTGGCTGTCGATGCGAGCCTCCCAGTCTGGATGAGGAGGAGGCCCACGGGTGAAAACTAACAGACAGCACATTCTCGGCTTCTGATGGATCTGGACTTTCTTTCACTTATCAAAACAAGCTTTTTGATTTAGCTTTCAGCTGTTTGTTTTTTTAAAGACGGGAAATAAATGTAAAGTTTTCACAGTTGATCTCACATCAGCCTGGAGGAGAACGCAGGACGCAGCATGTCTCTGGGTCCTCCACACTTTGGGAGCCTACTGTATTTATTTAATATGAGTATACAGGTGCTGGCCAGTAAATTAGAATATCATCAAAAGGTTGAAAATATTTCAGTAATTCCATTCAAAACGTGAAACTTGTACATTATATTCATGCAATGCACACAGACCAATGTATTTCCGATGTTTATTACGTTTAATTTTGATATTTATAGGTGACAACCAATGAAAACATCAAATCTGGTATCTCAGACAATTAGAATATTCTAAAGGCCAATGAAAAAATGTTTGTTTCTCTAATGTTGGCCAACTGAAAAGAATGAACATGAAAAGAATGTGCATGTATAGCACTCAATACTTAGTCGGGGCTCCTTTTGCCTCAATAACTGCAGTAATGCGGCGTGGCATGGACTCGATCAGTCTGTGGCACTGCTCAGGTGTTATGAGAGCCCAGGTTGCTCTGATAGTCGTCTTCAGCTCCTCTGCATTGTTGGGTCTAGCGTATTGCATCCTCCGCTTCACAATACCCCATAGATTTTCTATGGGGTTAAGGTCAGGCGAGTTTGCTGGCCAATCAAGGACAGGGATACCATGGTCCTTGAACCAGGTGCTGGTGGTTTTGGCACTGTGTGCAGGTGCCAAGTCCTGTTGAAAGGTGAAGTCTGCATCCCCATAAAGTTGGTCAGCAGCAGGAAGCATGAAGTGCTCTAAAACTTCCTGGTAGACGGCTGCATTGACCCTGGACCTCAGGAAACAGAGTGGGCCAACACCGGCAGATGACATGGCACCCCACACCATCACTGACGGTGGAAACTTTACACTGGACCTCATGCAACGTGGATTCTGTGCTTCTCCGCTCTTCCTCCAGACTCTGGGTCCTTGATTTCCAAAGGAAATGCAGAACTTGCTTTCATCAGAAAACATAACTTTGGACCACTCAGCATCAGTCCAGTCCTTTTTGTCCTTGGCCCAGGCGAGACGCTTCTTGCGCTGTTTCTTGTTCAAGAGTGGCTTGACACACGGAATGCGACACCTGAATCCCATGTCTTTCATGAGTCTCCTCGTGGTGGTTCTTGAAGCGCTGACTCCAGCTGCAGTCCACTCTTTGTGGATCTCCCCCACATTTTTGAATGGGTTTGTCGTCACAATTCTCTGCAGGGTGCGGTTATCCCTAGAGCTTGTACACTTTTTTCTACCACATTTTTTCCGTCCCTTCGCCTGTCTGTTAATGTGCTTGGACACAGAGCTCTGCGAACAGCCAGCTTCTTTAGCAATCACCTTTTGTGTCTTGCCCTCCTTGTGCAAGGTGTCAATGATTGTCTTTTGGACAGCTGTTAAGTCAGAAGTCTTCCCCATGATTGTGGTGCCTTCAAAACAAGACTGAGGGACCTTTTAAAGGCCTTTGCAGGTGTTTTGAGTAAATCAGCTGATTAGAGTGGCAGCAGGTGTCTTCTATATTCAGCCTTTTCAGAATATTCTAATTTTTTGCGATACCAAATTTGGAGTTTTCATTAGTTGTCACTTATGAATATCAAATTTAAATGTAATGAACATTGGAAATACATTGGTCTGTGTGCATTGCATGAATATAATGTACAAGTTTCACGTTTTGAATGGAATTACTGAAATATTTTCAACCTTTTGATGATATTCTAATTTACTGGCCAGCACCTGTATTTTTATGGGTAAATCGTGTCTGTTCGTTTATCTTTCTGGGTTCCTTCACACTTTCCCACCCAGTTTGTATTATTCTGAATCCTAAAGGCTTTTGTTGAACAACAACATAAACTGTGGCTTTTAAAGCGCAAATCACCCCCTAATCAACGTTTCTTGCCAATAAACTATATAAATGAGTGTCTGATCGTGCTGCAGACACGTGTAGTCAATAATTTGGCATTTTAGCACATCTTAGTTAAAATTTAAATATTCTACCTAAAACTGTCGTGTTGCGCCATCATCAGGTAAAAACTCTGCACTGCATTTGAATTTAAATCTGCCATCGCTACTGGCTAAGAGGTATCCTATGATATCAGCTGGTACCATATGATGTCACAATGCCGTTGTGAGCCTGTGTGTGTGTGTTTGTTAACAGCTCCTGCCAGGCAACAGCATTTGTTGCATTTTTAAAACAGGAAGTGGGAGTGGAGTAAGATTCTGGTAGAGGGTGACTTGCTCTTTAATGACCTGGAGGCTCTGGCCCAGGGGGGTCCAAACTTTTAGACACAAAGGCCAAGCTGAAGCTCCTTGTGGGCTATAAACATTTGACTAAAACGTTAAAAAGGAAATATTCTAATAGAAAGAATGAAAGGGGCGTTCTAGTATTGTTAATAAACAACTCTGCTAAAGAAACAGATTCTGGTCATTCGAGTGTGTACTTCTGGCTCTAGCAGATGGGAGCATGACCATGTAGTACCAAAGTATGGCTGATGGATGTTCACACATGAGGTTAGGGATCCACAAACATGGCGGCACACTTACTAGGCGGCAGCGGCTCATCTACTCTCTGGTAGCGACTGATGTCGTGACGAACCGACGGCAGAGATCTAACAGACGGGTGACCATTGACCTGCGCTGTGACACCTGAAGAAAACCATAACCATCATGTCTCTATGTAGATGATACAGTTATGCTACTGTTTTGCTCCAGCACAGATGAAACACGTCTGGTTCACCGCCCTGCAGCCTGAAGTCATCCCTCAGCTCTACGCTTCTCCCCACAGACTCATTTAGGAAAACTTGCTCTCTGAATGACGCTCCAGTCATTAATGAACGCTCGCTGACCCACTGGTGGGCACAACCCTGACAGACCATCTGAATGTCCTCAGGAGGAAACCGTCAGCTTATACGATCTCACCTGTCCTGCTCTCCCTCACTCTGGCCCCGGGCTGCTCCTGGTTCTGAGCCAGACCCCCAGAGGCCTGCATGGACTGCCTCCTCCACACCTCCCCTCCTTTGTCCTCCCCTTCCTCACTGCCACCTTCAGCCCTCATGCCTTTAAATAAAAACAATGTTTATGGTGTCTTTTTGAAGACGTTTCTACACCCCCCCCCCCCCCCCCCCTCATAAGATGTTTTAGAGATGACTTTAGAAGAGTGGAAATAAAAATTAAATATTGCCTGGCTATTAGTCACAACACATAGTGTCAGTTCCCCTGTAGAGTGATTATAAGAAAAAAGATTCTTGCCACTACAGCCTCCTGTACAGATCTTGAAGGTGAGGGAGAACCCTTGCTCAAGAGCCTTTTATCATCTTCACATTGGCGGTTTTCATGGCTCTCTTGTTACTATAGGCTGTGTAGGGGGACACTAAGCTTTAAACCTGCCAACAACAGGCCGGTAGAGTCTAAGACTGAAGCTGAGCTTGTTGGGATGTCCACTCCTGGGGTTACTGGTAACTTTAACGTTAGAGTTGTGCAACACCACCTACCTGCCTCTCCTCCACCAGCGGAGCTGCTGATTGGTGCAGATGCGCCAACTGGCCCATTTGCTTCACTGCTCGATGACTCAGCCCCCTCCTCCTCCGCCTTTGGAGCCAGTTCCTTCCTTGCATCAACCTCCTGAGAAAAAGAAAAGGTGCGGCGGGAGGCTGTTCATAAAACAGCAGCTTTTACCCAAGATGACCTAGCACACTGACTCCTTATCTGACCAAATGAGTCTGTGTCTTTGCTCAGAAGCTTACCTGAATGGGTGAAAGAGGACCAGGTTGGGGGTTGCAGGGCCCCATCCTGCTGCTCTGCTCCTGACAGGAACATGCCAAACCAGACTCCTCTTGTGGTTCTGCTGCAGCTGCCTGAGCCCCCAAGGCCTGAGGTGAGGTGGAAGCTGTGGAGGTATCCGCAGAGACCTGCACCACCTCGGCTGATGCTCCAGCAGCCTCCTCAGCCCCGGTTACCGATGCTACTGAACTTCCACTCTCCGCTTCATTGATTCCTCCATTTTCTGCCTCCGCAGGCTGAGCACCAGCAGAGGAACCTGCCTCAGCTCCAGCCTCCTCCGTTGGACCCTCGCTCTGCTCTCCAGACACAACTGGAGCTGTTCTAGAAGGGTTGGTGCTCTGCTCTGTTCTCGACGCATCAGTTTGGTCCCTGTGCTGCCCGGCCGCATCTTCATCCTCATCTGAGTCGATGTGCAGCATGGCGTTGAGCCGCGTGTCGGTCGGAAAGCTGGAGCGGAGTTTTGGTAAAGGCCCCATCGACGGTCGCTCCCCGGGACTCATGGGAGCTTCAAGGGCATCCAGGTAATCGTTGAGCGAGACCTGTTGATGAGTGTGGCCCCCCAGGACCACGGGATGTAGATTGCTGTCTACCATCTGACCGGGTTCGTGCCACACACTGTCATCACCATAGCAACAAAGACCATTCATTGCCAAGGGGCCGTCATCAGAACCGGTGGGAGATGGTCCGTATGTGGCATGAGATGACGAGGAGGGGTGAGGAAGCTCCTCATCATCAGACGGACTTCCGGGGTCGCCACTGCCCAGGATGGTCCCAGCAGCATCTGGGGAGGCCTCTGGAGGGAGGAGGGGGAGATGGATGGGGAGGAGTAAGGAGGAGTATCAACCATATAGAAGGGAAGATATTTGCCTTTTAGAATTTTTTTTGTGTACTTATGTAAGCTGAGCTAGCTAGTTTAGCTAATAAAAGCTACAAAGCCATACAAACGTCTGTTTAATTAACAGAAATGAATGCAGCTCAGCACATCAGCAGTTAGCATGCTAGGTCCTGCCCTAGAGTCCTGCTGTGGTAACCAGTGGTTCTACCTCCTTAGGAAGAAAAGCAGCTCATTATTGACGAAGTTTATTTAATTACAATGAACTCTGCAGAAGGAACAAGTTCATATGAAACTTACTTTTTTTTAAATCACCAAAATGTGTAGAACTAGCCAGGCAATCCTGTCCTATATGTGAATACATAGGATGGCCACGACTGACTTTTTTATTTTTTTATTTTGTTCAATTTTCAATTCAGCTTATTCATAAAGCGCCAAATCACGACAAGAGTCGTCTCAAGGACCTTCACATAGTAAACATTCCAATGCAGGTCAGTTCATTAAGCCAATCAGTAAAAGTTTCCTATATAAGGAACCCAGCAGGTTGTATCAAGTCACTGACTAGTGTCAGAGTCTTTACAGCAATCCTCATACTAAGCAAGCATTTAGCGACAGTGGAGAGGAAAACTCCCTTTTAACAGGAAGAAACCTCCAGAGGATCCTGGCTCAGTATAAGCAGCCATCCACCATGACTCACTGGGGATGGAGCAGACAGAGCAGACACACACACACACACACACACACACACGCACGCACGCACGCACGCACGCACACACACACACACACACACACACACACAGACACACACACACACACACAAAACATATATACCAAGTAATGTGTCTATGGCAGGAGTGGGGAACTCTGATCCTCGAGGGCCGGTATCCTGCACGTCGTTGCTCCAACACTTCTGATTCAGTGGTTGATTCACCTGTTCTGCAGCTCATCAAGCTCTGCAGAAGCCTGTTAATCACCTGCTGATTGAAACTAAAATATGCTGGATAGTGGCCCTCCATGGACCAGAGTTCCCCACCCCTGGTCTATGGTTACATTGTGATTTCTTAGTAAATATTCTATTTGGTGAGAGATAAACTTTATTGTATTTATCCTAGTGAATCTATAATTAAACAGGTAAACTAGTAGTAGCACATTCAATGTCAAAGAAAGTAAAGTGTTATTATCAGGAGAGGGAGAATGTTTACATGGTTAGCAGCAGTGTGCTAGCTGATGGCCCCCTCCATGAGGATTGAACTGAATTACAGGGCCTAGTGATGCTGCGTTCACTGTCATAGAGCTCAGTCGTGTCTCTGCATGCTATTAGACAACGAACAACGTGACACACTCACTTCTACGGATGTCAGTCAATGCGACAGTCTACCATACACTGCCAAAGAAGACATTTGCATCGTTTTTCCTAAATAACGACATGTTTTTACAATCAAAATAATTAAAATTACAGGATATAATTAAATATCAAACAGTTCAAATTCTCTTCAAAGCACTTAATAAACTTCTACCAAATAATTTACAAAAGCTATTTATAATTAAAAAGCTGTCACATAGCCTGAGGAGAGATAAAATATTTATATATATGCGAACAACACGTAAAAGCTTTTGTGTGTCTGTGTGTGGGATAAAAATATGGAATAACTTAAAGATTGATCACAAACAACGTCAAAATATTTAGATTTTTAAAGCACACTACAGAAGAACAGTTTGGTTAAAATACATTACAAATGAGAATGGATGATGATGTGAGTAAAGGTGTATGGGAATATGTAATTAATGATATTGACAAGAATTGTTAAATTGTCTAGACTACCTTTATTATTATTGTTATGATTATGATTTTCTTTGGTCACAAGGTTGTTGAATTTGAGTTAATGCTACATATTGAATGTTAAACTGTTAGTGAATAATAGGGGTGGGCTTGAATTAGCTTGGCTTCCGCCCACTCCCTTTCAAACACGCCTACAACAATGTCAACTTGATTTATTATTGATTTAAATCCTGTTGTTAATTGTGGTGTTATTGGCATGTTGGAAATAAATGATGATGATGATGATGATGATGATGATAAAGGATTAAAGGACCTCTATCTGCTCTTAACTCAAAGAAAAGCCCAAGTCTAAATAGTCCACTGTTGATGTCCAAGCCGTTTCAAACGAGCCGTCGCCATCTTGTTTCTCTCTGTCACATCACCCCGCCTACTAAATCGATACAGTGCTGTGATTGGCTAAACACAACACTGCTCAGGCTCTTTGGCAGTGTGGATGCAGAGGGGTTAAAATCTCCTGTTATGACTACAGTTGGGAAGGGGACTGCTGCAAAAGGACCAGGTCACCCATGAGTGCTTTGGGAAAAGCGTCAGACCTCAGAGAGATGGAACAACGTATCCTAACTAAGAGACGCCAGTGGAGAGGACCTCATTTTCTAGTTAATTTTTACAATAATAGTTGCCGGAGGGACTTGGAAGATGATTTGCTTCCATTCTAGTCACCTTTAAAACCAGGGACACTGCAGCTGCTACTTACAACAGCATCAGCATAAGCTTATAGCTGACTAATAGAAATTCTTTTGACCTCTTTTGAGATACTTTGCTCCCAAGTGCAGAGGTGTTGTATGTTTGTTGCAGCCAATGGAAAGAAACTCCACCTGGAGGAGATCATTTGTCGCTGTGGCCCCCAGACTCTGGACCTCTCTCTGTCACACCCTGCCGTGAGACCTGTTCATCCATCCCACTTCCTGTTTTATTTTGGTGTCAAATCTCCTGTTTCAGTTCTGTTCCCTGTTCCTCATCACTCTGATTTCTCCCAGCTGTTCTTGTGTGTATTTAACCAGCTTCTGTTCTCTTTCAGTAGCCAGTTTGTTAGTTTTCATTCTCTTGTTCCAGCCGGGCATTAACTGATCTCTGGGCCCTTTGACTCTGTTTGTTTTTTGATCATTTTTTGATCCTTGGTTAAAGAAGCCTTTGCCTAAATAAAAGCCTTGTTTTGCCAAACTCTGCATTTGAGTCCAGTCCTTCATACCAGCCCTGACACTCTCCCCCTGAGCCTGAGACCAGTGGACTCAGTGGTCTCCTTCAAACAGCAGCTGAAGACTCACCTGTTCAAGCTGGCTTTTGTATGACCTTCATCACCACTCTCCATGTTCAGCTCTCCCTACCTATTCCACCTTCCTCCGGATCCAGTGATTTCCCTCTTTCCTATTGTAACGGAATGAAATGACTATTTTCCACCAACAGTCATTTTCCCCCTCTCCTCTGACACAGAACTAGTCTGCATGAGATATGGCCTCAAGGTCTCATGCATTTGCTTCTAAACTGCTTCTTTCCAGCTCAAGAGAAGAATGAAGAAAGGACTCTCTCCTTTTAATAAATCAAAGAACTCTATCACTAGGACTGATCTCACGTAGCGTTAAGACATGACACATTGCTTCACTGATCCAATCAGAATCTGCCAGATCTGACGGAGGCGTGGTTTTGGTGGTGTTTGGTAAATCTGTCATCTTTTCATTCGACCATAAACCAAAACATCCGAAGTATAAAACTATGCCCACGTCATCTTTAACGACAGTTCAAAGCGTTCTAGAGAAGTTGTCGGAGGGGCCAATCCGTAACTTTCCTCTTCAGCCAAAAGAACCAACGACAAGCTGGAAAAAATCTGTTGCTGTTCCAACTGCTGCAACGGTTCCTTTCAGAATAAAAGCTGAACCATCACGACCCAGGTTTGGGTCTCACTGAATGTCAACAAAACCGTCGTGACCCGGAAGTGTCTCAAAGACTGGTCTGGTCGGCAACCGCTGCTTTTCCTACCGGCTTCGGTTCCAGAGAGGGTCCAGCTGGACCTCGACATTCCTGATCTAACGGGAACTTCCACAAGGGTACGTAGGCCGGCGACATGGCGTCGAATGTGTTTATGAATCTCCTAACCAAAGCTTAGCATGAAGACATCACCTTCCCATCAGAACAAATCGCTTCTCTGGATTTGCTGGTTCTGAGCAACATTCCACACTACACCATTATCCGTCTCATTCACCTTAGTTACACTCAACTCAACTCAACTCAACTTTATTTATAAATCGCGCCTTACAGGCAAAAAGATGCCACCAAGGCGCTGCACTGATCAAATAAAAACATAAACCACTAAGTCCAGAAAATAAAACATTGCATCACACAATACAGATAAAACTACAGTGAGTAAAATCGCTATAAGTAAAACAATAAAACTAGTTAGAAAGGTTAAAAGACAGGTCATAAAAATATGTTTTTAGCCTTGCCTTAAAAACCGCAACAGAGGTGGAGGCCCTTATGCTGAGAGGAATCTTATTCCAAAGCTTAGGACCTGCCACAGCAAAAGCCCTATCACCACGCGTCGTTAGGTGCGTTCTTGGGACCGAGAGGAGCATGAAGTTCTCCGAGCGGAGTGACCGTGAAGGGGTGTATGATTGAAGTAGTGACACCAAGTAAGGAGGGGCTAAACCATTTAACGTTTTAAAAATTAGTAAAAGTATTTTAAAATGAATCCTAACATCAACGGGCAGCCAGTGAAGCGCACCATACACCATACATTTAGTGTTAAAGTTAGTCTAGTTTAATTTGTTTAGTAATAAATCTTTAAACCTTTAAACTTGACTCTCTCTTCTGTTGTCTCTGAGTGAATACGAAGCTATCTAATCTCTCCAATCTTCTGGTTAAAATAACCCAACAGATCCATATGGTTGATTTCATATTTCCTATGGAATCCTATGCCTCATGGGTTATTAAATTATATCATTACACTATTCACTCTGTCTTTCTTTACATTTTAATCACAATCGTCTATTTTTGCTCATTTAAAACATATTTGTAATAATTTTCTAAATTATTTTTTACATTTTAAATTTTTTGTTTTTATGAAGCGCCTCGTGATTTTTAACTTGAGAGGCTCTATAGAAAAGATCTTTTCTTCTTCACCTTCGTGTCCGGATGAGGTGATGTCCACTCTGAACTGAAGCTGGCCACTCACGTTGTCCGTAGGGAGACGACGGCACAGGCTGTAGCTGACTGACTGATTGCTGCAAACGCATGAAAAGATGCGTGGTTAGAGAGTACGCACAGAAATGTTTTACTTCATGAGCCACGTGAATGATCCTAATACCAAACTGAAGGATTTCTGTACAGTGTGTGAACTCACTCAGCTGCCGGCCCCTCCAGGAGTCTCTGCACAGGTATGATCAGCTGACCCAGGAAGCGCTTGATGATTGGTCGACTCTTGGCAAACTTATCCTTCACCTCAATCGCCAACACGTCTGTCATCAGAGCGACGAAGGTGTACTTCTACAGAAAGGTTATGTATGTGACAAGGGAGAACACTTGTTTCAGTACGGTAATGGTAAGGGGTTGTCTATCAGAATGTTATAGCAATAATCTGACTTAGTCCACTCTGCTACTTCTAGAGGATGTTCTGCATCATCCAGAAGCTGCTGGTCAACACAAGGCATCAAGGCAAGTTCCTCTAGAAAAGCAAGACTTCAGTCATTTACGGTTAGGGCTAACTGCTCTGGAGCATGCAGGCGTGTGTTAATATGAGGAGGAGAGTCAATCCTCCGATCCCGGTAGTCAGCACAGTGGTGGAGAGATGACAGTTTGGGCTCCACAAGTCCATCAAAACTTCTGTAGACCAAAGTCTTCTATAGTCTGATGTGAATCCATCTGTCTGACAGATAAAGTTTGGGCCACAAAACGGAACCATGATCCAAACCCACAGATCTACAACAGATCCAAAGTACTGTAGTGGTCCTGTCAGATGCCAATTAGAAATAAAGAAGAGTGGACCAGAACTCCACAGAACCATGTGGGACATTGATAGAGGAGGTTCTGTGAGGTGTGCTGTGCTCACCTCCCCGTGCCACACTGGGTTAGTGGTGTTGGAGATGATGGAGGAGCGTCTCTCTTGTCCATGGTGAGTGAACTTGGGGAGGTTGCTCCTCTTCCCAGGCTGGATGGACATCTTTAAGTAGGGGTCAGGGTTGAAGAACATCCCCTTCTTCAAAGCCACCGCCCTGATGTCTGGAATGGAGTCAGTTATGAGCATCTGGTTGTTGTTTCTCAGCAGTTCTCCAGAATAGTTCTTCTCACCTGACAGCGTGAAGCTGACCAGCTTACGACAGTGTTCTATCCCTGACTGGTCCTCCACCTGGCCTTCACTTCTCACCTGTAAGGAAAATAAAAACAACATCTTAAGTTTGACATATTCCACAAACGTGGTGAGTGTGCTCAGTGGAGCATATTAATGTTAAACTGCTGTGTTTGCTCTGTGGAGCGTAGCTGGAGTGTTTGCACGCTCAAAGGAGCTTTGGCTTAGTAATTATATCTGTTTTGTGTAACTGTTACCTTGACAGCCCAGTTCTCACCTTCAGTTCTGATTGGACTTCTTTTGTTTCGTTTCTACTGTGACTTAGAGGGTTAATTGTAGTGTGAGAGTCTTATTGGTTTGTAGTTTTACTTATTTGACCAATAGTGGAGCAGCGCTCCAGTTCCTTTACTTTCCTCTTTTGAGGTCACCTTTATTTCCAGTAAATTTAGACCTAGTGACCCTGAGTTTGTTTCGATCAATTATTTGTAATAAAAACGTTTGCTTTTAAAATCCTTTCATGTTCCAACATCCCTCACCCATACCATCACCAGTCGTAACAGACTTGAATCAGAAAAGGCAAGAATGCCTTCTCCGGGTCAGGGACGAGGTCCTGCCCCAAGTGGAGGAGTTTAAGTATCTCAGGGTCTTGTTCACGAGTGAGGGAAAGCTGGAGCGTGAGATCGATTGAGGGATTGTTGCTGCATTAGCAGTGATGCGGGCGTTGTACCGGTCTGTTGTGGTGAAGAGAGAGCTGAGCCGGAATGCTACGTTCCCACCCTTGCCTATGGTCACGAGCTTTGGGAACGAGATCATGGATACAAGCGGCCAAAAGGAGTTTTCTCTGCAGGGTGTCTGGGCTCTTCCTTAGAGAAAAGGTGAGAAGCTTGGTCATCCAGGAGGAGCTTGAATCTGCTGCTCCTCAACATTGAGAGGAGCAAGCTGAGGTGGCTCAGGCTCCTGGTCAGGATGCCTCCTGGACGCCTCCCTGGTGAGGTTTTCTGGGCACGTCCAACTGGAAGGAGACCTAAAGGTAGACCCAGGACACGCTGGAGGGACTATGTCTCTCGGCCAGTCAGGGAACGCCTTGGGATTACCCCGGAGGAGCTGGCCCAAGTGGCTGGGGAGAGGGAAGTCTGGGCTTCTCTGCTTAGGCTTCTGCCCCCGTGACCCGACCCCAGATAAGCGGCTGAAAATGGGTATAAAGGAACTCTTTAAAGCGTTAAAACCTTCCCACCCCCACCCTGACCCCCGAATACAACATACTAGGCATTATTTCCTACTAGAGACCACTGCAAATGTCTTGATTAGAGTGACCCACACCTTTGTTGTGATAATTATGAAAAACAAGTTGGTAACACTTTACAGTAAGTGTCCCTTTATTAAAGGTGCATTATGTAGAAATGAAGTAAAAATGGCACCCTATGGTAAAAGGTGGTAACTGCAACCACTTTAAACAGCTCTGGAGCTTTTTGCCGGCCGTCGTCATATCAGTGGGTGCTGCAGCGTTAGCTTACAGGAGACACGGCACCCCCACACTCACTGATGTAAACAGTAGTTACGTCCCTCCTTCCTTTGTGTTGAATGGAGAAAAACTGACGATCCTCACAGCCAGCTGGATATGAAATATGTTTCAGTTTAACCTCCCTTCCAAAATGACTGAAACATTCGACTCTTTTGGGATTTTCTCGCTGTAAATTTTCACTATTATTCTTACATAGTGCACCTTTAACATTACATAGTGCATTTAAAACATTTTTGGTATTATTAACAAGTGTCCTTAAGGTCAGGAGAAAGGGGGGAGGGGTGTCTGCTTAGTAATGCATTACCTAATATTTATGAAGCAGTTGTTATTACTTTATTTAATAATTTATTAATGCCTAATAATGCAGTAAGTAGGGCTGCACAATACATCGTAAATATATCGTTATCGCGATAACTGCATGCGCAATATGCATATCACAAAGAACAGATAAATATCGCAATGAATGGTCAGCTCAAATGTTTGCTACACATAACGCATTCTGTCAATCGAACGGAAGCAGGATGTTTTTTTAACAAATCAAATAGAGATCTTCACCCATTTGGCCAATTGAGTGGATTCTCATCGGTTAGATGCCCCCGAGGCGGACGGCACTTCATTTTGATGGTTAGCAAACACCTGAGTTAGCTTTGTTCTGCTCTGTCTGCTGATTCTGCTTTTCCCGGGATCCACTAATTGCCTTTTCTTGTTCATTTTCTTTTTCCCTTTCCTCACATATTTTGCTTTTCTCATTTTTATGATTTTTTTATTTCTTTGTTTTTGATTATTTTTGTTCCTGAGTTAAGTTTTTATTTATCGCAAGTAATATTGTCATCGCAATATTAATCACTGTTATCGCTAACGCAGGTTTTCCTAATATCGTGCAGCCCTAGCGGGAAGTAACGTGAATAAAGTGACCCTTATTGTAAAGTGTTACCAATGAGTTTTATCCATCTACCATAAAACTCCATCATGGATCTTTAACCGTTAGCAGACAAGTCTAGTAAGCACCAATCTACCCACATACCGGTACACCTGGGTTCTTGACAGTGATGCAAGGAGTCGTTGCTCGTAATGCTCCCGTTTCACCATGATAGTACTTAAAACAGATCTTTGTTTCAGCTGTAAAGAGAACACAAACAACATTTTAACATCCTTGCTTTCTGAAGACATGATGAACAAAAAATTTAAAAGTATAAGTTAAGGCGGTACCAACATAGAAAAGTACGTAAGTACGTTTTTCTGATGGCCCTTATAGTAGGTTGGAAGTCCTCCTGACCTGTCAGGTGATTGAACACATGCTCAACGGCTCAGAAATCATTCAGGAATTTCATAGAAAAACAAGAAACGACTAACTTTCTCCTAAAATTCCTTCAAGACTTCAGCAACAACGCACGGCCTCGAGTGTGATATTGCTTTTATACAACAGTTCTACCTGCTCATTTTATTTTTATAACAGCAATAAGCAACAACAGATTATGATTTGTTCATTTATTTAATCATTTATCAGGCTCCGCCAACACAAATAGTCCCAACAGAAACGGAGACTCAGACAAGGCTGTTGCTAGGCAACACAAACATTTTCTACAGTAACAGTTAGAACGCCTGTGCACAGCTGAGTGATACTCTTTGTAAACAAACCCAGTGCTGTTATAGTCCAATATCAGCACTCTTGGAAAGTCTCTTGACCAATCAAATCACTCGGTCGGAACTAACTGTTGTATAATTTGCTTTGTTTTGCAGATCAGAGCCCGGTGGAAATGAAACACAGATGTGTAGTTATATGGGTCAACACGTGCAGCTGAAAACTTCCAGGAAAAGTTCAGAATATCTGCCTGCTGAAGCAGGAACGTTTTCATGAAGTTGTATCAAAGGATTTCTAAACCAGCTGGCATTAAAATCCAGAGTCCACCCAAAGTGTCACTGGCCGAATGTTGGACAAATAACCCAAAGGTCGTTGATATGGTGCAGGAAGGTAAGACTCAAAAGATGAAATCTTTCTCCCAAGGAAAATATTCATCTGGTCAATGAGAAGCTTGTGATGCCAGCTGATAAATCGGTAGCAGAACAAGAAGTTGTCCTCTCGACTCCAGTACAATGGAACCATGCTGAGGCAAATGGTCTCATTGACCTGTCTGGTGACCCATGTGATGTTGAATCGGCTCCTTCTTCTCTTTGGCTACTGGATTCATTGACTATGGCTAATGTCCCCTCAATTTCTTCTTCTGCTGCAGCAGCTGAGTTGAATGTTCCTCTAATTCACCTTTCAGGTTTACACAGGAAGAACCTGGAGACTTCTTTTGAAGAACTTAGGTATGATGTGTGAGCATTTCCATTGTCTAGAACAGGGTGATAAAAATATCCATGAAAATCGTACAATCCTGGAGGTGGGCTAACGCTACGTCAGCTTTTCTGTTTGTCTCTGATCGCCAAAACATTGTAAATGTTCAAATCTGGACACCTGGATGAGAACACAATCTTTACCCGTTTCCTCAGAGAGATGGTGGAATAAACATTAACATTCAGGAATATGCTTGGATTTCACTCACACTCCATGAAGTAGGGCTCTGGCTCCAGTCGCCACAGGATCTGCCCTTTCTGGGTGCCATTCACCCCTCGGTTCTTGGACTCCCAGACGTTGGCAACACACGTTTCATCTGGAAAACACATGCCATTTCCTTAATTAGGTCTTAACATCTCTAGAACATACCAGAATCAACCTGTATTGTATAGCTTATTGCATGATAGACAGCAGTGGCAAACTCTTGACCAGGAAGCCCAGACATAAAAAGGGCAACCCAAAAATACACAGAGCTGCTCTGCTTTGAGCCCTCTCTCACATACACACCACGCATTAGCCCATTCTCTCTTAATGCTATAATCAATAGAGAATGTGCAGATGTTGCCATACACGGGTTTGTCCAGGCACCATACTGCATTTCCAGTAGCTTGCATGCAGGATCATGCTTTCTAACCCACTGTTCCTCGGAACGAAATAGGAAACATTTCAACGTGCTTCAGTTAAACACATTATAGAGCAAAACTTGTTACACAATCTGTTATATTTGACCAAATCTGTACAGGTCAATCCACCCTTTTTCCAGAGTTCAGATCATGTGTTCAGGATTAAGTCAGGATTAAGTTAGCAACAGACTAAGTAAAGCTAATGTAACTTATAATATCCAGATCATTCATCCATTCATCCATGTCTCCAGGCATGCAGGCGGGGCACATCGCAGGGCAACACAGAGACACGCAGGACAAACAACAAAGCACACACACTCACACCTAAGGACAATTTAGACAGACCAATGAACCTAACAGTCATGTTTTTGGACAGTGGGAGGAAGCCGAAGAACCCGGAGAGAACCCACACATGCACAAGGAGAACATGCAAAGTCCATGCAAAAAGACCCCAGATTGGGATTCGAACCCTGCAAGGCAACAGCACGAACCACTGCACCACTGTGCAACTCCAGATCACTCATCTCAATATAAAATTTCTACAAGGGCCACCACAAGGTTTTGTGTTTGAACCAATTCTTTCAAGTTCACAGATGCCTTCATATGTCAAGCACCAGATGATAATCAGCTATATTTAATATGAGAGCAGAAGGACCTGATCTGTTGGTTTTTCTGAACTTGAGAAATTCGTCAACTCCAAACAAAGTTCTAATACACTGGTTTTCATTCTATTTTAGAAGATATCCCTTAACTTTCACATACAGCCAGTTTCTATGACCTCCATCTTTCAACTGTAGAAGAGCCAGCACCAGCACAGATTTAAAGTCCTAAAGATTTGTATTATCCAAACACAGGACACTAGTCTCAGACTCAGGCTTACCGTATTTTCAGGACTATAAGCCGCTACTTTTTTCCCACGCTTTGAACCGTGTGGCTTATACTGAGGTGCGGCTTTACTGAAGAGTTTCCTTCACCTGCCAGGGGGCGCTTTAGCAGAAAGTGAAACAGGTGGAAGTCAAAAGTGGAAATTGAAGAAAGTGCTCATTTTAATTTAGCACATGCAAGCAGCCGGCACGACGAAGAATTTTTTTTAATCCATACCCCCTCATCATGGTAACTACACGTATGAGTTCATATGATGCCACATTTAAGTTGAAGGCCATCGATCTGGCAGTAAAGGAGCGAAACAGTGCTGCCGCACGTAAGCTTGGCATGAATGAATCCATGGTTCGGCGCTGGAGACGGCAGCGGGAAGAACTCATTCAAGCCAGCTTCACCCGGGGATGATGACAGCAACACGGACAGCAACACTGGCATCGCCACAGAAAAGGTATGTGACGAAGCTCTTCTGAGGCTGTTCAACTCCGACACTGAAGAAGAGGACTTCAGTGGTTTCAGTGCGCAGGATGATGAATAAACTAATCAATAACTTTTCAGTTTAGTTTGATACTGATCAGTTCAGCTACGTTCAGTTAAACTACGTTTTCAATTCAGTAGATATCTGGTAGATATCTGCGGCTTTTAGCCCGGTGCAGCTTATATAAGTACAGTTCCATGTGTTTTTAAAAACTTAGTAGGTGCGGCTTATATTGAGGTGCGCCCTATAGTCCGGAAATTACGGTACTTGTGGTCCAAGAATTTCCTAAGGTAGAATTCAAGCCTGAACATTTAGTAGTCTGTGCTGGTGCTCTACAACCACACAGTTATACCCAATAAATGAAATGTCTTAAAGTAAATATCAATTTACTTATTTAAACTTAATTAGTTTCAGGCCATTAAAACTGATGAACAAGTCTTACCAATGTGATACAGGCCAATCCAGTCCGTGGCATCCACTTCCTCCTTTATATCCCATGAGATCACAAGGTGGCCATGGCCCAAAGTCAGCTGGTATGTAGAAGCAGTAAGCGACGAACGGCTTTCGGAGCTCACCAGATCCGTGTCACTATTGGCCCGCTGAAGCCCCACCCCTGGTGATTCTGACGGGGTCCCAGATAACGTTACAGAGCAGGAGGCAGAAGATGCGGAGGCAGAGGTTTCAAGTGAGCCCGGCACCGACAAGCCACCGAGGTTGTCAGGTCCAACCGTGTAAGGCCGGGTGTGGGGGGTGCGCCTGCGCATCGCCAGAAGGTGCTCTCGAGCACTGCCATTAGGAGCCGAAGACAGAGGTGGAGACGAGGAGGATGCTGAGGCGGTGGCAGCCATTGCCATGCTCAAGACAGAGGTGGTGGAGAAAGCTGGAGGGGGTTGGTAGTGATGGGGATGAGGGTGGTGGTGAGGGGAGGAGGGGACAGAGGAGTTGGATGACTGGGGGCGGGGTCGAGGGGGAAGGACAACGTTAGTGAGGGACGGGCGAATTGTGGAGGTTGGAAAAGGGGGTCAAAAAGAAAACGAGTTGAGAAGAACCAGTTGTGTTTGTGTGTAGAGGTATCAAGATTAAAAACGTAAAGAGAAAAAAACGAGAGAAAACATTGCAGGTGTGAAGGTGTAGGTGGTGGAGTCTTCAGAGCAGGGCACCTTTCATGGGAAGGTATCGATTAGTCTTTAAGCAATCAATCCTTTGGCCCTTGTTCTCTCTCCCAGTTCTCATTCAGAGGATCACATGGAGTTCAAACGGAGGTGGAACCTTCTACCCACCTCTGGTAGTCAATCATATCAGTGCTTCCCAGTGTGTGAGAAAATCAGTTTGACTTTATGTGACAACGGTCCATTGTCAACTGTCTAAAAGTCGACTGCCAAATAATGGCTTCATCAGCATGTATGCATCTATTATTATCAATTATTCCATTATGACAGAGGTGGGTGAATAAACAAAGGAGAAGAACAAAAAGAAGAGGAGGGATCTGGAGTCCTTCCATTCATCTGTCCAATGGAAGGTGGGTAGGGTGAGGAGGCTGAAGACCTATAGGAGAGAGGAGGAGAGTCAGTGAGGGGGGACATGGGGATCTACCCATCTCCAAATGTGGAGCGTAGCTGTCAATCATAGAGCCAAAATTGCTGGAGGGGAACTTTAAATGACCATGCAACACCAACTGTAACTGTTGACTGACTGTATCTGCCAGTGTTGGATAACGCCACCCATCCATGCTGTTTCACATGAAGCAGATGAGCCTGTTGTAAATTTATTTATCTCATAATTCAATAAGGAAGTCAGAGATGGACAGCTGGGAGGTTCAACTGGACAATTACTTTTAGTTCTATACCGTTCTGCAGGGTCAATGTCATCTACTTATTTCTGTGGCAGCGATCCGTAACGGTTTGCATAACACAGCTGTCACCATAACACTGGTAGACAATTCTCTCAGATAGGGAAGCATCGACTGACGAACCCAACACTTCAATAGCAAGTAATCAGAGTAACACCAGTTGTTTATGTTTTGTCAAAACTTTTATTTTTTACCACTGAAAACAAAACACAATCATCAGCAATGATGACAGGTTTCATTAATGATCGTCCATGGATGACTCCCTACCAATGGTGACTGAGCTGTTAACCTTTTAGACCGAGAAACACAGGAAGGACTTTTTCTGCTAAGTGGCCTCAAAGTTGATTCACTGATTTGACAAAACATTCAATAAACATAGTACACACACACACACACACACACACACACACACAAAACCACACACACACACACACACACACACACCCTGACAGATAACTATTAAAAATAGCTCAGGATGGAGGCCAGCCGTGATCGTACGTATCAACTCTTCGAATGAAGAGTGCTGAAACACTGCTTTCATTATTCTAAAAATAAAATCAAGCATTAGAACTGTAGACATTCAAAGCATGGCTCCTAAACACATTTGGGAACTATGCCTTGTCCTCATGAAACCCATCAGGAACGCACAGTAAGGCTCTGATGCGAGGCTAAATTATCTGCAGGATTAAATGAGTGAATGTGGGACGGAGATTTAACGTTGACTTCTATAATCTGCTGCTTTAGCACGCAATGCCGATCAGCAGCTGGAGTCTTGTTTACAATCAGCTGCCTGAAAAACGACAACACCTATGGTTTCTGTTTGACAAAGGTGTTCGTTAGGAGTCTTCATTAGCAAGAGTAAAGTCTGGATATTGAGCATTTCAATAAGAAATGTGACTAGAAAAACAGTTGTCCTTTGGTAGTAATACTTCACCGTGACCAATAGGTGGTGGTAATGTACCAAGTAGTTTCCTAACCACCGTGCTCTTCCACACAAAGGTGCATTTTTCAGAAAAACACCTACTGAAAACGTGAGGTTTATTTTGGGATGATTAGAGTGGACTCTAAAGCTACACCGTTACACTGAGCCCTCTAGTCCTCTGCAGGTTGCTGGGCAGTTCCACAAAAAGTCAAAATCCCATTGGTTGCCACACTGGTGTGTGAATATTGCTCTCTGCATTTGACCCATACTCTAGGAGAGCAGTGAGTTGAAGACACAGCTTCACTCGAGAACCATTTGTTGGTTTAACCCCCACCTAATCAAACCCCGTATGCTGAGTTTTAAGCGGGGAGGCATTGGTTTCCATGTTTTGGTAATTTTTTTAGTATTTGGAACGACCTAGGGCTGGGCGATATGGCCTAAAATCGATATCACGATATATTGAGGATTTCACCTCAATAACGACAAATGGACGATAAATTCAGGTATGCGCAAAAATAAACGTTGTCCACTAGATGGGGCTTCCACATGTATTACGTTGAGTCACATTAAGGTGGTACAGCTTCTTAAAGGGACATGAACGTTGCCAACCTACACACATCTTGTCATTTTTTTATTATCAAATTTATTGACATGGGAAAACTTATCTCTATAAGAGTCATAAATTTTGATAACGATAAATTTTTGATTTATTGCCCAGTCCTAGTACAACCTGACCATGGATTTGAACCCACGATCTCCCAATCTCAGGGCAGACACTTATGTTTATTCATTTCACAGACGCTTTTATCCAAAGCGACGTACAATTTATTTTTTTTAATAACCTATAGGGCATGTTGTGATCTGTGGGGGAAACCGGAGTACCCGGAGGAAACCCACGCATGCATGGGGAGAACACGCAACTCCACGCAGAGAGGCGAGTTTTTGAACCTGCGACCTTCGTGCTGCGAGGCAACAGTGCTAACCACTGCACCACCATGCAGCCATGCACTTATATCACTAGGCCTCAGGGCTGGTGAAAAACAGGAGAAGTTTTCCAAACTACAAGCATACATTAGTTTATAGTGCGCAAACAAGTTTATTATTACATGATGCTGTAGGTTTTAATATTGCAAACGGGCGCTGGAAGAAGAAAACATTTGCTCAATACCACCATGTGTGGAGAATAAATAGAAGCTGGAGTGTGTGAAGATAAGGTTTCTCAACCACTAACTTCAAATTGTGATGCATAGAGAAACGTAAAATACTTATTCTTTTTGAAATGTGATCAGTTACTCTGAGTCTCACATGCATGCTGAACGTGAAAACAGTCTTCTACCCTTATTTCCTGCATTAGCCGACCGAAGGCAAGACAGACCAATGCTTGGGCAAGAAAAAGCACACAAATCTACCTTACACTATAAATTTGCATTCATGGACTCGCCCAAATTGGCTTGCGACAAGAAAGGCTATGGGTGTTTCTCAATGTCAAGGCACCTGGCCTCGCGAGGCAATGTCTTGCAAGGCCAGGCGCCTTGCTTATGAGGACATTGTCCTTCCTTGGTCAAAGAAAACGGTTAAATGGAACAGACTTGCATCACATGAACGTAAAGTCACGTGACACGGGAGATAACGTTAAATTTTATACGTATAAGTTTCAATATTAATATAAAATGAGTCTTTTACTTTTTAAATTGTGTATATATTTGTTTAATTAAATATAGAAGAGAGTTACTACCCGCTTGCTACTGAAGCTGCAACTACTAAGCAACTAACCAAACATTAAGTAACTTCTTTGGATCTAAAAAAATACATTTTAAATTAGTTGACTTGACTTACTTTTAAACTTGAAATTTGCCCCGAAGTAGCTGCCAGCTTCTGATCCGCCATCTTTTTGAAAATACTGCAGTGTATTCTGGGTAATTTTTGACCAAGGCTGGGCTACAAAACACCTCCTAGCTAAACGACTAACAAACGGAGAACACACGCCTCAGTGGAACACGAACATTGGAACACGTCTTGGTGGCTCCTGATGACGTATCTCCTAGGCAACCGGGGCGGGGTCAAGGCATCAAGGCGAGGTTCCTTTGCACTGAGAAACACCCTATGTTTATTTAGCATCCAGGAGAGAGCAGAGCCCGTCTTGGTTATTAGACGTTACTTCACAACATGGCAGAACTCCTTCAGGCTTGTGGCGATAAAACATCAACATTGCAAATCAGTCAGTGGTAGAGTCATGTTGGTGTTAGCCAATCATAGGCGAGATGTCCGAATATCATGAATACTAATGAGTAAGCCTCCAAATTCTGACCTGCACCCACTCTTCCGGCTGAGGTCTACTTCCTGAACCAGAAGTGCCATAGCTTTTTTTTCTGCAGAGATCGATTCACAAGGCATTCATACATATAGACCATTGCAGATTTATTGAAAGAGCAAGTTTTTGCCCTCTTCAAAAACATGTATTAGTTCTTGGTGGGAAGCAGCTTGATGTTGTCCACCTACTGCATAAGGTTACGCCAGCGCGCTCAGCTGTCAAAGGTCAACCAAACCGAACAGGGTTCCTGCAGCCTTACCGTTTGCTTAAAACTGCACAAAACTATTTGCTAGGAGATGCGATAGAAATGACTCCACTTGAGCACTGCTTTGCTGCTTTAGGTGTGTGGAGGTGGCTTTACAGCAAGAAAAGGTGCACCTCGCTTCTTTGATCCACAGAACGTGTAGAATAAACAAAAGTGCACACCCACAACCTCTGCTACATCTGAGCGTGCCCCCAAATGTTATGTTGTGTTAGGGCTGGGCAATAAATCAAAAATTTGTTGTTATCGAAAATTCTGACTGATATCGAGAAAATAAATTCCCATGTCAATAATAAAAAAATGAAAAGATGTGTTGGTTGGCAACATCCATGTACCACCTTTGGTCACGTAAAAAATGTGTCTTGGTGTGATACATGTGACAGCCCTATCAAGTGGGCAACTTTTGTTTCTGTGCGTACCTGTAGTTATCGTCTATTTATCGTTATTGAGGTGAACTCCTCAACATATTGTGATATTGATTTTAGGCCATTTCGCCCAGCGCTATGTTGTGTCAAGTGAATACTTTTCAATGAGCTTTTACATCATCATAAATGCTGCGAGGTTGTTTACGTAGACTCATCTGCAGTAAAATTTGATCATGGTTTGAGGAGAATTTCCTATTAATTCTGCCAGAATAACTGGATGAAAATGTAAAAAAAATGTAAAAATGTAAAAACATAAACTTGAACTGTTGTAACTGACTGCATTGAGACTGGGTCCATTTCTCCAAACTCGTCTTATTGAGGAAGCTTTTTAGCATCTCAGACAATTAGAACAATATAACAATTTTAACCATGAACTGTTTAACAAGTAAAACCTAATAATTACCAAAAATAATAAATCTTTCAGGAAAAATGTCTGACATAGCCTTGGGTTAGTAAAACCTTTAAATATGCATGCGTGGAACAAAATGCTAATTAGCCATATGCTAAATTAAACTTTGCTAATGTTTTTATTTTTTTGGTTAAGCAGACTTCAATAAAGCAGACAATTAGAGAATATTAACAATAATAATGTTTTTTTATCCTGAAATCAGGTTTAGTTAAATTGACGCCACTGCACCCAAACATGCTCGAGATACCTACATTAAAACATTCGGATCAATTATTTTTATAACACCAAATATTGATTGAAACTATGGCCTGATACCCATCATTACTTCTCACCACTGATACTATTTTAATGTCAAAAGCACCATTAAGGAAGAAAGATTTTAACCTGATCCCTAATTCTACCTCTTGTCTCCAATATTGGATTTCTTTGACTACCCTGTGAAGACAGTTGATGGATTGGTCGTAACGTTTTATTAGTTAAGATCTTTTTTTCCTTTGCTTGGGGCTTATAGATCGGTCCATCACAATCCTGAAATAGCAGTAGCGTGATTGAAGAACAATGGGGCAGTCCCGTCAGGGACACAAGCTTCCTGTCCCCACCACCATCACATTCCTGTGTGCCAGGTCATCTGTGAGTGTGTATGCGTGTGTGTGTGTATGCATGCACTTTTAATCTTCCACAGTCCAATGGGGCCACGTGGCAAGCAAACACTCAGCACCCTGTATGTGTGTGTCATACAGAGTACACCGTCAGCCACCAATGAACCCAAATCCATCAGGAATAAGAGTAAACTGGTTAAAGGATGAGAACCAATAATAGGACCAATGCTTAGTTAGCCTTCTTCTGCTGTTCAAAAGTTAATTCATGACATCCCATTAACAGGATCTGCCATGTTGTATTTTTTAATCCAGTATGTGAGCTCTCAGGATGTGGGTTTTGAAGTTGATGGTAAAAGTGATAAATTACCTGCACTTGTAGGTACCCATACCCATACATTATACCACATTGATTGTTACCACAGCTGTCCTGGGACTCACTGACAGATGCAAGGCTGCCATCAGTCCCTCCGAGCACCACCAGGTAAGATCAGGGGCGTGTCCAGGGAGTGGCCTGGGGTAGCACATGCCACCCTTGGAATCTGATTGGCCACCCCAGGTGCCACCACACTAATTTACCTTTAAATGGGCTTTTCATTGTCCACAAAAGGCTTGGGGGTAAAACAAAAAAAGCATAACAATTGGTGCCACCCATGCACAAAGTTGTGCCTCACCTGGGCCACCCCATTTTAAAAGATCTGGACACGCCACTGGGTAAGATGAATGACTGGTTATATTGTAAAGCACCTCGGGGGGTTGTAGAGGAGCTATATAAATACAGACAACTAACCATTTATCGCTGTTTTAGTAACAATCCCTTTAGAAGTTGTTTTCCAGTTTTACCTGTTTTTTGGAAAACACCTGAAGACCCTAACGAGGTCCTGGCCCACACTCTGGGATGCACCTGCTGATGCTGAGTTGTGGGTATTGTGGTAAACGCCATGTGAGGTGAATAAAGAGGCCAGATGAGGTGCTCCGGGCTCAGATCTCCACCCAAACCTAGATGATGCCCTGCTGCACCCTAAATCAGGGTGAGATGTTCTGCTTTGGGGCTTTGATGTGCTTGGAGCGGCTCCACCTGCCAACGCCAACCCAGAGAGGTGCAACACATCATGGTGCCAAATATAGACCTGTTGTTGGTGGGAAGGTGGGATAAAAACAGGAGTATCCGTCCTGCAGCGTCTCACCTTTTCCAGGATGACTCTAACGTCGCCTACAACCACGCAAGTCTGCTAACAAAAAACAAAAAAAAAAGCACAGCGGATCAATCTTGGCCCATAAATGGCGGATCTCCAATGGGCCCGGACTCCGCCGACATCATCCTCCGCTTCCAGGCGGGATGGGCGGCTCCACAGCCCGGCCACAGCCCCCGCAGCCTCTCGGTGGTCCCACCCGGAGCTCAGAGCGGGGCTCCTCTTCTTAAAACCATGTCTGCTGTTAAATCTTCGCTCCGTTCACTCCTCGGTCATGTCACCAGGCAGCCAGAGGTTTCATGTTTTATTAACGCGGTCCACTTTCCTCCCGGTAAAGGGCCGCTTCCTCCGAACGGACAGGAAACGGCTCGTCACGACGGCGCATTTCTAAAGTGAAACACCGGCTGTGGAGCTCCACACAACGCCAGGCATCGTTACGCCGGGGACACACCGGCCGCGGAAGCGCCGCGAAGCGCCGAGAAGCGAATCGCTCACGAAATTCGGCCGCTGCTCGCCGCTCCTCAGTTCAGATCAGACGCGCCCCAGTCGAGGCGCGCCTCGGCTCAGCTGTAGTTTTTCTTTTAAACACTTGGTGTCCTCCATTTCCTCTCTGCCTTTTCTCAGCTCTTTTCCTACGTTTGAGTGTTTGTGCGCGTGCGCGCGCGTGTGTGTGTGAACCTATGGTATGAGTTGTTTCTGCCAGTTGAATCTCTTGGAACCCGCTCCAATTCTGCAGCTGTATCCTAGCAGTTTCTTCCGACATGGGTACGTAAATAATCATGTTTTTCGGGGGTCGTACAGCTCCTTGTGTTTCTCAACTTCCATAATTTAAAGTCATCCATCCTAACTGCTTGCCTCAGACATTCTGCCTCTCTGTCCTGTTTGCTCCGGTGAAAAGACACCCAAAACCACTCCCCCCTTCACGTGGTCACACACGCACACAAGTTCGATGTGCGTGTTCGTGTGGTTTTTCTGCAGTGTCTGTTTACGAACACATTTGACTATTGCGGAATTTTATTTTGAAATGCTTTATTTTGTTAACTTTACCGGCCTGCCTCTTATGTCTACGTTTGACTTCCTGCCAGAATTGACGCGATTCACCCGCGGCTCGCGAAAAAAATAGAGCCAACGCCGAAATGATCGCTGCACGGCGCGGGCTGGAGCGCCGGCGCGCGCCGGCGCGAGGCGATTCGCGGCGCTTCGGCGGCCCATGTGGTCTATAGAATAGCTTAACAAGGGCGCCGAATGAAGGCGGTCCCATTTTCGCGGCGCTTCGCGGCGCTTCCGCGGCCAGTGTGTCCCCGGCCTTATTGTGCTCCACAGTGTCACAATAACGGATTAAACACCTCCCACCTCCACCCGTCAGAGGAGCGCGGTAACCAATCGGAGGGCCGGGACCCCCGGAGGAGCCACGGCACAAACTCCAGGAGTCCAGAGTAATAAGCTCTTCAAATCAGTTTAGAAAATGTTTAGTTCGCCAGTTCTGTCCAAAGGGCTTTATTAATGCGTACAAGCGTGTAATAACCATAGACTGTACATACTTATAACACATAATAACACGGTTATAACACGGTAATAACACATACTGGGAAAACTAAAGCTCCCCCTAGTGGCTGCCTAGAATAATGTGCTATTAAAAACTTTTTTTTATTCACCATTGCAGGATTTATTCTGTTGTACCTTTCAAACAGCAAAACCTATTGCCCCTGCAGTGCAATGCTAAACACGGGAGAAACCTTAAACTTGTGTGGCAAGGTGGAGAAATGAGGGCCCGGGCAAGATTCAATCCCCAGGCTCCCGGGTGAGTCACATGCGCTAACCAGTCAGCCAAAAGGACACCCCCTTGGCCAAGTAGCCAGGGCGCATCATCAATCGGGTCACAGTGACAGGACGCTCACACTGTCACACTTGGTTTATACTTCACACATCAGTGAGGTCCGCACGCTTCCACGCAGCCAAATTACGTCATTTTAGCAACTACGCCCCTCCACATTGTCTCTGCGTGGCCCAAAGTGCACTCAGGAAATGTTTTAACCACGCGGATGGTCCTGCACAAAAACACATGGCGGACTAAGCTCGTAGTGGCCGAGGTTCTTAAGTACAGACATCTTTATTATTCGTCCCATAAAGATCGCCGTGATCTAAATATTATTAATTGCTGTCACAGTTGGCAAAGACGAGGACGTAGTGGAAAAAATGTAAACAAAAAAAATATTTTTACTATGGTGGTGTGCTGGATGCATGCCATAGAGCCCTAAGCCGCCCCCTACAGCATGGGAGAATATTGGCTCACAGCGGAGACAAGCCGCAAAGGTATAAACGCTGCTAGATACGTCTCATTTCACCCTGCACGTCTAATCTCAGTCTAATGTACACGCGTCAAGCATAGCCCAACCTTTATGAAGATGTTTGCAAAATGTTAAATGAGTGCAGGGATTTCTATGTGCTGGCCATTTATTTAGACATGCAACATTTTTGCTAATTGTTGTCTTAACGACTATTATGTTCTTACTTTTTATATGTTCCTTTTGAACAAAGCAAAGCCATGAGAGTGCGTTGAGGGTGGGTAGTGTTCTAGAAGACAAGATCTCCACGGGGATCCGGCTCTCATTGTTCACTTGAAGACCTGTTCAAAAGATTTGATTCATTCGTGAATGTCACATCACTGGTGCACAGCTCAGAATAGAAAATGTGTGCCATCAAGTGTATTAGGAGTTAGTTGGAGACATCAAAGTACGACAACTGCATGTGGCGTAAACGCAACCCGACAGGCTGCCACAGCCACATGTGGGAAGACTGATGGCAAGAACAGGCTATGTCACAAACAATCGCAAATCATGTACAATTACATCATTTTCTGTATTTTAACTCTATGGTGACAGTTCAAAGTAACAAGTGTGGCCCCACAAACCATCAATCAGTGTGAAGCTGGACTTTGACAATGCAAAGGGTAGAAAGTGTCAGTTATCAACATCCTAAGTTTTCATGACCAAAGCACTTTTTAGCCCGAGTGCAAGAACTACCAAATCAAAGTTGCTTTTGTTTTTTAAATCTAGAATTCCACAAAAATGGTTTTCCTGAGGTGTTTTGTTATGACCGTATGAAAACCCCTCCCTCGTGTCTGGCTGCAGTCCCACCCACTCTGTATGCTAATGAGAGACTCTCCTGAGATTCTAAGGGTATCGCTGCAGACCTGGAGACCACAGATTTAGGCCAACCAAACATTCAGGTTCCACTGGATATTTTTTAAATCCCACGTTAAGCCCCACCCCCTCCATGTAAACGAAGGGGATATGCTCTTAATTTCTTAATTAAACTCAAATACATTTTTACAGATATTTTTCCAGATGAATGGTGGTGTCTCAGTTATAAATAACAAACAGGTTTTAACTATGATGGCAAGTCTTTAGTTTAAAATCACATAAAAAATATAAATAATTACAAGACCAGTTTTCCTAAAAAAAAGCTATTTAATTCACAAAAAAGATTTTTACATTTGTAACAAAGCTTTTAGTCCTTCTCTAGACCGGTGTTGCCACCTTTCTTCAGCACTTATTCAAGTTTGACAACACCGAAGAGCCCTGAACTCTAGAGCATCGACTTCTTTACGGCCGTTTAGACACCAGAAGTGATCCAGTTTCTCTGCGGATTTTTACACAACACAGTGTTTTTTGATGAGTTGCCGTGCCATCTCCATGTTCCCACTGGCCTGGTAGATGAGCGACAGGTTGAAGGCTATCTCCCTACTCAAGTCCACCTGATCGTCCTCGATTCCCTGGGACAAACAGCGTTTTTGGCAGAATGGAAAAGAGGAATGACAACATCAAGATGAAATCAAAAACTTAATTGCAAAGAGATCGAATGTGGTGCACTCACATCCAGTTTCTGAGCAGGCAGTGCAAGTGCCTTTTGGTAATAATGTATGGCTAAATGTGTGAGGCCCATCTGGTGCAGAGCTCGGCCCAGGTTGTACATGCTCTCCTGACACTCTCCACGTAGCTCCACATAGCGCCACAGGAAGGAGAACCCCTGAAATCACAAACATGCCATCTCCTTCCTTAACGAGCTCAACAACTTTCATGCTCATTTTGGGCGAGGGAACCCCACAATCACAACCACAGCAGACATGATGCCAGACCCCGAACCTCTGACTCTTTCCCCCACCGATGTAGGAGCGGTGCTGAGCAGGATCAATGTCCACAAGGCTGCAGGTCCTGATGGCATCCCCGGGCGTGTTCTCGGAGCATGTTCTGGGGAGCTTGCAGGAGTGCTGACAGACATATTCAACCTGTCCTTGGCCCACTCTGTGGTACCGGCCTGCTTCAAATCCACCTCCATCGTCCCGATACCCAAAAACTCCAACCCAACTAGCCTCAATGACTACCGCCCGGTAGCACTCACCCCCACCATCACAAAGTGCTTAGAGCAGCTGGTCCTAGCACACTCCACAAATCCTGTAGCCCTTAAACTTCCATTTATTTTGGACATAACTTGCTTTTTATTGCGTTAAGTTTTTTAACAAGCCGCTCCAAAAGGTGTCGGTCCTCCACAGCCCCCATGTGGTCTCTGGTGAGCTGAGCTCCAGCTCCAACTGAGAGAAGCTCCTGGAGCTCTGCATCACTCCAGTTTATCACCTCAGCTGATGGCGTTTACATAGGGAAAACTCACTGTTTACTTTCCTTTTGAATACAGTTACCGGCCAGAGCTCGGCAGAAACTCCCCACGTGATCATGACGCCTCCTTCTGTTGGGCCAAGGCGTGAAATGCATTCACAAGTCCAGTGTTGCAGTAATATAACCACCAAGCGTAGCGGCACAAATGCTACAAAATTCCCACAATGACACACCGTGACGGTGGCATTACGCCAGGATGACATCGGCTGTGAAGAAACGCGAAGTTGATCGCTCATGAAATTCACGCGCTGCTCCTCTGTTCACATCAGGCGAGAATTTTGGAAGAGCGCTTCTGCTCGTGCCTACTGTTTTCCAACCCCCCCCCACCCACACCCCACCACCACCACCACCCACCCACCCACCCCCGTGCCCTTACTGTGCGTGTGTGTGTGCGTGTGTAACCAGTTCCTATATACATTGGTAAGTAAATAACCTAGTGTGTACAAACACCTTTGAATTAAACGTATTTGTCTGTGTTCACATTTATTAAATCCATCTTTTGCAGTAAAAACTGCATTTAAAATTATGGAAACGTTATGCATCTCCACAGGAGTGTGTGTGCTTGTTCATTTTCATCTCTCTAGTCTGTTTAGATACACACAAATGCTCACATTTATCAATCATGGTGTTTTATTTTGAAAAACCTCTTTATTCTCTTAAATTTACCAGCCTGCCTCTTCTGTTGACGCAGCTCGCGAAAAAAATAGAGCACGCGCCAAAACGATTGCTGCACGGCGTAAGCCTTCATCGCGCTTCGCAGCGGATGCGATCGAGACCGTAGATCGACTAGAGGACCGAATAGAAGCGCTCTTTGTTCCACGGAGCTTTACGGCGCATCGTCGCGCTTCCACGTCTGATGTGACCCAGGGGTTACACTGATTTTTACGTCATGGTGTGTCTTCTACAAAGGACTGAAGTGTCATTATCACTACTGGACATTACTTTGCTTTTCCGAGTGGTTTATGAAGTCTAGTCTTACGATTATATCATATTGCAAAAAACAACACTGATTTGACCCAGAAGAATGCGACTTACCTCCTGTGTTATGCAAAACACCTACAGGTTCACGGCCAACCAGGTAACAGGAGTGCAGCGTAACTTTAAGTGCTATTCAATTGATCTGGTGAAAAATCTTGTATTTTTTAATAATGCAATATATATTGTAGAGTTAGAAAAAAAATTACGATGTGATTTGTTTTTAATATTGTGCAGCCCTAGTCTGGTGGTTTATGAGATCATCAGTGTTGGGCAAGTTACTTCAAAACTGTAATGCATTATTTATTACTTGTTACCTTCATTTTAAAGTAATTAATTACAATATTACTGATTTTAAAATGTAAGGCATTACACTACTTTTGCATTACTTTAAGTTACTTTCACCAAAACAACTTCAATATGAATCTGGTAATCTGACGCTCAGTGAGCTCATGACATATATGTGGAAAGTGATGTGGTGTCTGAGCTAGGATTGCTGTTAAAAACAGTCAGATATAATAACAGTGCTTTAAAATGATTGTTTATTAAATAAAAGCAAACAACAATCTGTACTCTCAGCACGCTGCCATCTTATAGGGCCATCTGAGCAGGGAGTGAGGTGGTGGGGGCTCCAAGCCTATATTTGCCTTGGTCCCCAAATGCCTTGATACGGCCCTGGATGTGGGACTGACTTCTGGGGAGATCTGATTCTATCACATGAATAAATATTAAATGCTTATATATTATTGCTTTTCACTGGTAAAAATGTGTATTGGGGATAAATCTACCTACCTTTTTCTTTTCAAGCACTTTGTTTTGTTTTTGATTTTATGTGAATAATTTCCCGCCCTTTCTCTCTCAAACCTTCCTGCACGCTGCGTGTTTTCTCCGTCTTCCAGAAAAACTGTTTCCTAGATTTCCTACTTTCTAACTAATCAGCCAAAGGGATCTACCGAACGCAAAAAAATAAATAAATAAAAAAGCTTAGCGCTGCGCTCCAGCAGCAATGAGTTGAAATCACCGGCGCACAGATTATGAACTCAGCTGAAAATTACATGAAGTACCAGAGAATGTGGGCGGATATAAACGATCGCAAACGAATTACTTTGTTTTGGTGGAGCAGTTTTGTGAATATAACAGCGGCAGCGCGCAGGACGCAGCTGGAGTATTTGAGGCATTACCGCTGCATCCTCTCTGCTCATAGAATGCCCGCAAAGCTGAGTCCATAAATGATGTCATATAAGTGGATACTGGATCTTTTTTCAGGCTTCCCGCAATTTTAGGAAACCCACATCTTGACTCTGGGTTTAAAAATGCGTTGTAATTACTGCGTTACTGACAATTGTACCGAGTAAATATTACCATTTTCTTTCCCTATAATGCCTTACATTACCACATTACAGCAAAAAGCAATGCATTACAGTAGTTAATTACTTTTGTACCGTGTTACTCCCAACACTGGAGATCATTGGTATCCACATACCTGCAGCACCAGAGCGTGTCGCTTGGCTACGTACTTCTGAGACGCCATGTGGAGGAAGGTGAGACCCACACACAGACTGAGCATCGGGATGTCGGGGTGAGTCTTTACGGCTTGAACATACTGAACTGAAAACACAAGAAGCATCATCATCCCTGTGAGAAACCACTGACCGTTTTCTGGAAAGGTGGAAACAAACTAGAGGATTTAAATGTGGCGTTTAAAGTGTAAACTTATAGTCCGCTAAGTGTTTCTGATGTTCGTGTGAATACCAAGAGCGTGCTTGAAGCTGCCCGACACCAGGGCGTTGTGTCCGCACAGAACACACAGGGCGTAGTTATCAGGATTCTTCAACAGCATGCGCAGACAGAAGCGGTGATGGCGCTGGTGCTGCGAATTTGTAGTCAGCTAATGAGAAGGAAACACACAAGTGAGTCAAAAGCAAACCACAACTGGACGCAACATCTCGGAAACACACCCAAACAGAGCAATAAATGGATGGACCTGGTTGAAAATATTCCAAAGCTGAGGCTGATCCACGGTTTCCAGAAGCATCAACCTTTTGGAGGAAACAAACGTATTAAATCAAAAAGGGTAACAGCTAACACTAGCCGCTCATGCTACCTGATATAGTTGTAGGCCTTGTAGTTGTCATGGTGGAGGATGGAGGCTGACAGGCCGAAGTACTCCAGTTCTTTCCTCTTAGGCTTATTGTCGTAGAAGGAGTAGAACTCCATGGCGGATTCCACCAAGAGCTCAGCTTCCTCGTAGCGTTTCAACTCACACAGCGTCAGCAGGCAGTTCACCAACAGCTGCCACCAGTCCTCTTTGGAAAGAACGCTAGTTTTACCTGAGATCAGATCACACCAACAGAGCCATCATCAGTTCACACATCAAAGCTGGAGATGTGGTTCCACAAGAGGTCAACTACAGATACACACACACACACACACACACACACACACACACACACACACACACACACACACACACACACACACACACACACACACACACACACACACACACACACACACACACACACACACACACACACACACACACACACACACACACACACACACTCACAGCCAGCTGAAGGTGTCCTAGAGTTTCACCCTTGATGCTTTCATAAGATTTAACAAGTTTGATACCAGCCAGGCATCAAATGTACTCATTATTCATAAAATCTGTTAGTTTGTTGCTCCGGAGCATACAGATGCGTGTTAACACAATGCCGATAAGGAATGGCATTAGCTATGACCTTAGAGGGCACCTATCTGAGAAAGGGTTAAAGGTCATATCTAATCCAGTCAAATCTACACGTACTAGAGCTGATTAGTTTTCTGACTGAACTAAGATCACGTGATTATCAAGTCTGCGGCTTAAGCAGCCCTCCCGACTGATCCAGGATCTGTTGTGTCAGCTATTTCACACATCCTGGTTACCCCCAGGTTGTCTTAAGTGTTGTGGCAGCAGCGGCAAACGCCGGCAGGGCTGGGACTCGTTGATTTCAGGGAACCAATGCTACAGCTGACAAAGCAGTGGATTTTGTTGTTATTTCATTCTTTTATTTCGTGGTGCTGCTTTGGTCAGTATTATTTATGGATGTGGTCGCCTGTTGCTTATTATCTACTGTCCACTCCTTGTTCCCTCCTCTCCATGACTGATGTCAAGTTGTTGTTATTGTTGCTGTTGTTAGCCTCAAGGGCAAAATGCCGATTATCACTTGTAAGTCGCTTTGGACAAAAGCGTCTGCTAAATAAACATAAACATATTTTCTATCCCTCACTCAGCACCGTTTGTAAATGTGAGACTGAGAGGCTGATTAGCCCACCTCCTGAAATAGCAATAAGAAATTCGCCATAATAATACTATATGAACTTGAAAACGTAACGTCTCATCTTTCAAAAACCGAATGTTTCTGATGACACAAACCATAGGAGTTACGGTAAATCAAAGGAAGCATGTAAAATGCATCATCGTTTGGTGTTTTAATAGTGTTTGAGAGAAAAACATCCAGGCGGCCCTCCTTGGTAAAACAATTTAAATTCAATTCTCACCTTTAAATTTTCTTGTCACATCTTTAGAGTAATAGCTTTTAATGTTTTGATGGTATGATGTCATTTCCTGTCATGTTTGTTATTGTTACAGTATGTTGCGCAAAAAAAAATTGAAAATGAAAAAAGTCAGCCAGAAAAATCTATTAGATCTTTAACTAAAATTCCTTAGTCATGTGTCACCTCATCCTCACGCTATTTCCCTGCTCACACACACATTACTGACACCAGGCCGACACAGTTCATGTCCCAACATTTATCAAGTCAAGAACCATGTTATTTACTCCAGGACTTTGTGTGCTGCCCATCATATTTTTAGTTTTGAGCTGGCCATAACACATTGGGGGCTTGTCCGGGATACACAGAAATCTAAGACTGACAGCACCAGACATTTTCTCACAAATGTTCATCTGCACATCACCAGTTATGCAGATCTGAGATACTTCTTTTTAAAAATGGAATGACTTACTAAAGAAATTATGTAGATTCTACAGCCACGATTTAAGCTGTAAATAATCTAATGGTACATACATGTGTTGTCCAGATAGGCAGTTTCATGATCAGCAATTTCTGGCAAATTATCGTCCACCTTCATCAGCCTCAGGTGACTTTCTCCTGACATAGATACAAGACGCACCACCGCCTTGGCTCGCAGCATGGCCACCTACAAAACACACGTTTTACCGGAGATGCTTTAACAGAAGACACACAGGGACAGGAAATGGGTGAATGTTACCTTGAGCAGCATGGAGATCATAGTGATCATAGTATCCAGGTAGTCCAGCATTAGGCCTTGTGTTTTCAGCAGCGTGGAGCGATGCAGTAGAAGCTTTAACTCCTACAAAACAGAAAACACACGCGCACTCTAAAATGTGTTCTAGTCCCGTTTTATGCCACTTTTTACAAGATGGTGTGGGTAGGATTGTTTTAATAGTCAAGTATTATTAAAAGACTGAGATGATTCTTTGAAGAAGTAGCTTGTTCTGGTCAGACGCCAAACCCCACTTGTATTCTCAGCTACTTTGGTATATTTGAGACTCTTACTGTGAAGGGCTGCAGGAAGTTCTGTTATTTTCACTGCTGTGGGAGAACAGTGATCTGACTACAGAAAAAATGTATTTTCTAGTTAAGTGAGAAAAAGCTGACCCAGAATCATCAGTGAACCGTCTAGGTCAGCTACCCCAGAGACATCCTACTGCCATTTCTCATTTTCTCAACCGTTTTCTCGCAAAAACCAAAATTTTCCTTGTCAGTTGTAGGAATTATGCACTTGTTCTTTGAAAAAAGACTTTTTCATAAAAGGTTCACATTTTTTATTTTTGATGTGTTGATTGTTTCTTCTGGAGACTTTTATTCAGACTTTTTTCGGGACATAAAGAACCTTAAACCTACTGACTTTTTTCCTATGTAACATCCAGCAATGGTCAGTTTTTAGGTACTGTTTGACCAGTCAACATCTGGTCAGAAAGGAGACAAGAGACTGCGTGTGTTCCCTTTAAATCAGCCTGCCTTCAACCCATCAGCTGGAGTTCAGAGCCTCTCTGCAGCTCTGAACACATGATAACGAATTGTCAGCAATAATGTTCTCTCCTCAAGGTTCCCTGATCGCCCTACAGGATTCTTCATGCCTTTGAATAATCAATCAATCAAATCAAATCAAACATACTTTATTAATCCCAGAGGGAAATTAGTGAACACTTGCAGCTTGGATCAGTTTCTAAATTAAAGAATGATTTCCTAAATTAAATATGAACTTCTAAAACGTATTAGCTAGATAATCATTAAATAAATGTTTGTTTATTGCTACTTATAATAATTATAATGTAATGAACTGTTTTATTAATCTGTGCTCAATGATTGAAGTTGGAAATGAATGTTATGTTATGATTACAGTGATTGAAATATGTTTCAGCATGTTTATATGACAAGGTCATCACCATTTGCACTCACACAAGAACAAAGTAAGGTTAAGTTAAACTCGTGACACATAGATAGCCCTTTACCCAGATCAGAGCATCCGGTATCAAAGAAGGCGTGTGTTTGTGAGACTCTTGGTAATATTCCTCAAACTTGTCAACCTCTGGTTGGCTACACAAATCATAACATGAGAACATTAAAACTGGATCACTCTGGTGATTCAGCAGTTCAAAAAAAAAAAAAAAAAAGAGAATGTTGTAGGGTTGCCTAACCTTCTGTACAGCCGATGAATCCTGGGCCAGTGTGTCACTGTCGTACATGGACTCCAGGGCTTTCAGAGCACAGTCCATCCGTCCCAGCTGTTGCTGGATGGTAGCTAGAGACAGCCGGGCCTCGAGGTGCTGTGGCGCCATCTCCACCACCTTAGAGTAGCTCTGTGCTGCCAACTCCATGTGGCCCAGAGCCTTCAGACACTCTGCAACAGAAGAGGACACAGGAAACCAGCGCTTCATTCTTCATCCACCGCCCATAAAACCAGTCATAGTCATAAAACGCCAGCCCGTTCTGATGGTCTTACCCGCGTGCCTCAGCCAAACCACAGCCAGGTTGTACTTGTCAGACAAGACCAGCTGCGCCAGCAGAGGCAGAGCAGATGAGTACTTGCCCTGCTCCAGGTAGGCCTCGCCTACATCCAGGTACAGGTCTCCAATCTCCTCTGGACTCTGCTCCATAAGTGAAGACACCAAGTCCTGTGGAAACAAACATGCTCCACGTAAACCTTCCCTTCTGTACCGACAGTAACAGGCAGGAGCTTATTTTTACCTCCACAGGCTTGAAGGCCTGTTGCTGTATGAGGCAAACAATCAGCTTAGCCTTCAGGTCCACCGGGACACTGTCTGGGACGTGGATGTCTGTAATTTCACCTGGAGACACGTCACATCAGTGAACTTCATGTCCTTTACTGTTAAGGGATGAAGCTGATCCTGAGAACTGTTAGAATCAGCTCAGAACCTCTCCTCAGATCATTTTCACCTTTACTGCCATCAGAAGTTCCTTCTAGCTCACCGTTATCCTCTGATGTCACTTCCTCTACTTCCACTGTCACGTCCTCTCCATTCTTCCCCTCCTTTGTCTCTGATTCCTTTCGTGTTGCGAGTTCTGATAAGGGATTGGGTTGAACCAGAACAATACCAGTAAACTTGACCAGTACCTGAGAACCAGACAGAGCGCTGAGACGATGTCCACACACACGCCGTCTCTTACTAAACTAAAGAGGTCACGCATAGCCACCTGCAGGGCATCTTTGTACCGACGGCTGGAGATGTACAGCTCGGCCGCCATGTTGACGACGTCGTCACCGACTAAAGCGGGGTGTCGCGTCAGAGCTTCCTCAATCACACCGAGCGCAGAGGTCAGGTCGTTGCTCTCGTAATAACTCCTGAAGAACAAACACAACCATTTGCCTCTAGATCCGCTGCTGGAAGACGTTTCTGTCCAGTCCTGATCCGTTACTTAGCCATGTCCTTGGACAGCTGCATGAAATGCTCTCCATCCTCCAGCGGCAGCAGAGACAGGATCTTGCGGTAGCCGTCCATACACTGCTTGTGTTCTCCTAAACGCATGTGGAGGTTGGAGCGCTCCCACAGGTAGCGCACGTTGCTCGGGTCGTACTTTATAGCTGTCAGGAGACACGAGACCCTGATTTCAAAAACACCACCGTGATTGGTGTGGCTGTTATCGGACCCAGCTGACTGACCTTTGCTGTAGCAGATGACGGCCTGTCGGACGTTGTCCTGCTCCAGAGACATCTCAGCCAATCGGACCCACTCCTCATAGTCGGATGGGTTCAGGTGGGCTGCAATGAGCCCAAACTGCAGAGCTTTGTCCACGTCTTTGTTGTCCTCGTAGATCATGGCCAACGTGGAGAATGGCTCGTAGGCCAGGGGAACTGCAGAGCACATCTGAACTCTTACAAACATCTCAGACTTTACTAAAGAGAAAAGGTGAAGAACATCTTTCCTACCTTGTCTTATGATTTCCATACATAGCACGATGGCGTCTTCTTTTTCTCCCCGAGCGTAGCGGATGTTGGCCTCTCCCATCAGGCCCCTGAGCGCCTGAGGCAGCTTGCTGCCATGACGACGGGCCTGGATAAAAACCACGTTAGTCCTGAAAGAGGACAAGCTGATCTCCCTCCTTCTCCTCCTCCTCCTCCTCACCTTCATCAGCTTCTTGTTTTCTCGATTGAGATCCATCTCCAGCTTGAACACGTCACCCACCGTCACATCCTCAGACTCCTCCTCTTCCTCCTCATCAGCTTTGAACTTGCTACTCAGTCCTCTCTTCCCTCGTCCTTTCCTTCCTTGTCTCGGCGATCTTTCAGGCCTAACCTTTACTTCCTTGTCTGCCTTTATCTCAAAATCTTTATCGTCTTCATCATCGACGTAGCTCAGAGTGTCGTCTTCTTCCCCGTCCTCTGAAGAAGGAGCTTCAACCATTTCTCCCAGGATGGAAGCAAAAGCCAGCTGGACTCCTGGACTAACTCCGTCCTCTGGAGAGACACAAGACAGATATCAAAAACAAAACCCACATGAAGCTGCTCCACCATGTCTGCATTTCGTTATAAACTCTGATTGAAAGGCTGCTTGTAAACACGGTCACTACTTTAATGACACCAGCTGGTGTTTATAGATCATATTAGCTATTAGAAAAAAGCTGATTTAAATCATTTAACGATCCGTTTTGCCTCGGCCCCCAAAATGCCTTGAAATGGCTCTGGGTGTGTGACTGAGTTTTGAAGGTGATCTGAATCAGATAATCTGAATTGTATCAAATGTATAAATATTACATACGTATAACTTATTGTTTTATACAACATGTAGTGGAGATAAATGTACCTACAGTTAACTTTCAAACACTTTGTTTTGTTTTCTTGTTTTTATTTAACTATTTCCTGTCTGTCTGTCGTCTTCCTGCATCTCCTCTAAACTCTCCAGAAAAACTGCTGCCTGGATTCTTACTTTTTCACCTCATCAGTTACTTTTGAGCAGATCTAAGGGATCTCCTGACCGCAAAGTGGAGTGCACGTTTCAATGCTGCGTCAGTGAGGTGAAATCACCGCAGCAGATGAGCGGAGGGCATCAAGAACGATTAAAAGACAGAGTACCCGAGGATATAAACAGATATGATTGATCATGTGTTAATAATAATATTTTGTTGCGCCACCTTGAGAATGTATCGAGCGCCGGACGCAGCGGGCGCACCAACGATCAGCGCTCTGCGTCCACTCCGCTCAACAAAATCCTGCTACGCCGAGAGTCCATAAATATTGTAATATAGGCAGAAACTGGCTCTGTCCCTGAAAGATATCTGGCCCCCCGTAACTCGATCCCTGCTCCTGGAAGAAAAACCAGCAACAACAACAGGACTTGCTCCTTCTTCAGTTGTGTTAGCTGGATTTAGTCAGATTTATGAACCTGGCTCATAAATCTGACTTTCAGTAAGTCGCCGGGTTTGTACTCTCAGTTAGCAGGAAATCACATCAGACTAACAGCCTGATTAAATACGAACCCATTAGACTGTCCTTTTTAATTTTCAAAACGCTAAAAGTTATTTGATCTCCCATTAGTAAAAACCCTGAGCATAAAATTATAACTGTCATCATCAACAGCCTGCTGGAGGGACCAGGACATCAGTCTAGAGTTGCAGTAAAGCTACATATGACATCCCTGGTCTACAGACACGAACCAAAGCTTCCCATAAGGAAGCATGGGCCGGACTGGCCAGGCTATAACAGACATGTAGAACACAACCTGGACAGGAGGACAACACGTGACTAGCGGAAGGGGACAAAGGCAGGAGAATTTACCGACTGTCACTTTAGTTTGAAAGGAGGTGGAAGGTTGAGCGTCATCCTCCAACTGATTTTCAGCATCTTCACCTGCTCCTGACTGAGAAGACACAAATTAGCATTAGCTCACGAGCTAACCTCAACACTCATCTGAATGAACAGGGACAGAGTATTAAAGTTACTCGTGTACCTCTGTTGTCCGCTCATCTCTCTTTCTGTCAAACTCCTCAAAAGTTATTTTGCCCTCCAGATAATCCATTAACTCGGCGCTGAAAGCAGACATGTTTGTTGCCGGAGCAGGGTCATCACATCCAGCTAACTGCATCCGACTTTGTTTACCTCCATCTGATAACCCGGATGTAAATGTGAGGACACGAACGCGTTCAAGGACGTAGGAAATTACGCTACCAGACACTGCCTACCACCACGTAAAGACTGAAATCATCTCTTGCGGTTGTGTTGTTTAGTCAAGTATTCTTTATTCCGGACTCTTAGTCCAAATCACAAAATAAAATAAAATAAGAAAAACATTGTACAGATAAGATAACATGAAATGAGCACAATATGACATACTAAAGCACTAGAGACCAATTATAATAAAAAAAACAAGGTGATCTTTACTTTATTAGAACACGACCCAAACTTACGAGTGAGTGTATTTCCCTGAGCATATAGCATATACGGCTCTGCATATACATGTCATCATCATCTCTCATGTCCTCTGTGATAATATGACCAAGATATTTGACCTTGTTGGCGACACTAATCACAGAGTCTGATGGATAAAATCTGGAAACTTCACTTGCTTGTCCTCCTTGGCCCTGCAAATCATACTCACACTTTTAGCTGCATTCTAAACAATGTTGTGTTCTGCTCCATAGTCAGAACAGACATAGAACCACTGCATACATCAGGTGATTTACGACAACACCACCAGCTACGCAGCCAGTCCTTTTAAGCTCACTGATAAGTTGTCCATGCACAGATTAAAAAGAAGAGGAGATAGACCCCCTCCGTCTGACTCCATTACTGACCTTAAATGGCTCTGAGATACTGTAACCCCATTTTACATGTACATTTGCTGACCATACCAATAAACCGGTCTCACCATCCATAAAGACTTATATTCTGCTCAGATTTCTCTCTACAAGGACTCCATCTCCCATGCCAAATCACAGTATTACTCCGGTCTCATCTCGTCCAACTCCAGCAACACTAAAACATTATTTTCCATCATGAACAGCATTTTTCAGCCTCCCGACTCCTTACCCATCCATCTTTACTCTTCAGAAACCTGTAACTCTCTCCTTCAGTTTTTTAATGAGAAGGTCAATAGAATCCATCTCTCTTTACCTCATTCCTCCCCTCCCTCTCCTGATTTATTTGAACCCACCATTCCGTTCTCCTCCTTTGAACTTCCCCATCCCTCAGAAATATTAGATTACATCACCAAATCCAAACCTTCCACCTGTCAACTGGACCCTATTCCAACTGTTTTAGTTAAATCCTGCCTTTCTTCTCTGCTCCCTTTTATAACAGCCATTATTCATTCCTCACTATCCTCTGGTACGGTCCCATCCCTATTCAAATCCGCCTCAGTCAGCCCTATTCTAAAAAAACCTGGTTTAGATCCCAATGATTTCAATAACCTCCGTCCCATTTCCCATCTTCCCTTCATTTCCAAAGTCCTTGAGAAAACTGTTGCATCTCAGCTCCATTCACATCTCACCCGCAATAACCTTTATGAACAGTTTCAGTCTGGCTTCCGTCCCCACCACAGCACAGAAACAGCTCTCATCAAGATCACTAACGACCTACTCATTGCTGCTGATTCTGGTTTAATCTCTATTCTTATTCTCCTCGATCTGAGTGCGGCCTTTGACACCATTTCTCATCCCATCCTCCTTAATAGACTCTATTCCTTAGGCATCACTCACACCCCCCTCCGCTGGTTTCAGTCTTACCTTACTGGCCGCACTCAGTTCATCCAGTTAAAATCCTTTACCTCAGAACCCTCCCCAGTCAAGTCAGGTGTGCCCCAGGGCTCTGTCCTGGGGCCCCTCCTCTTCATAGTATATCTCCTCCCTATCGGCAAAATCTTCCGCAAATTCAATATCCAGTTTCACTGCTTTGCAGATGACACCCAGCTCTACATTTCCAGTAAGCCCAACTCAACTCTCCCACCATCCTCCCTTACACTCTGCCTCTCTGAAATCAAATCATGGTTCACCTCTAATTTCCTCAAACTCAACGGCAATAAAACGGAACTTCTTCTAGTTGGCACTAACTCCACCCTCTCAACATCTGACAGCTTTTCTTTAACTATTGACAGCGCCACAGTCTCCCCCTCACCTCATGTCAAGAGTCTGGGTGTCATTCTCGACAGCTCCCTTTCTTTTCAGGCTCACATTAATAACTTAATTCGGTCAGCATACTTCCATCTACGTTCCATAAACCGTCTTCGTCCCTCACTGACCCCTCACACTGCCGCCATTCTCGTCCACAGCCTCGTCACCTCCCGTCTCGACTATTGCAATTCACTTCTTTATGGTCTCCCCAACAAACTCCTTCATAAACTGCAACTGGTCCAGAATTCAGCAGCCCGTATTATCACCAGAACCCCTTCCTTTCACCACATCACGCCGGTTCTCCAGCAGCTCCACTGGCTCCCAGTTAAATTCAGGCCCATCTTCAAAATTCTCCTCCATACCTTCAAAGCAATCCACAACCTCTCTCCTCCATATATCTCAGACCTTATAAGTATTCACACCCCGTCCCGTTCACTCAGATCTTCTTCTTCCATCCATCTTGCGGTTCCCTCTGCCCGTCTCGCTACCATGGGGAGCAGAGCTTTCAGCCGCTCTGCTCCTCGACTCTGGAACTCACTTCCCCCAGACATCAGGAACATCGACAGTTTTACCCTTTTCCAATCAAAACTCAAAACACATATGTTTAAATCTGCCTACAACCTCTGATTTTATTGAAATGTTTCTCTCTGTTTTTTCTTCTTTGGGTTTTATTATTGTTTTATTGTATTTTATTACGTGTTTTGTGTAAAGTGACCTTGGGTGTCCTGAAAGGCGCTTTGAAATAAAATGTATTATTATTATTATTATTATTAAACCAGGATGTGCACAATGTACCTTGGGACACCTCTATGCAGCAGCTTGATGAATAGTTTCCTATAGTTAACTCTATCAAATGCTTTGGATGCATCTATGAAGCACATGGAGACTGAGGAGTTCTGGTTTCTGTATTTGGTCACAACCTCCTTTAGAGCATATGTATACATGTCGGTACCAAGTACTCTCCTTTAGAGCACATGTACACATGTTTACCAAGCTCAGACTTTAAGCACAACCAATTATCTGTGATTTTTAAGGTGTCCATAATTCTGTCTAGCAGAATTCTTTCCAAGTCTTTTGAGAGTATGCTAACCAGAGCAACAGGCATCTAGGTATCTGTGATACTAACTCTCCCACCCTGGTCTTTCATCACTGGGACCAATAGAACAGCTAGCATTGAATCAGGCAAATATCCATGAGCAAGAAAAGCTGAAAAGCATATAGCAAGGAGTGGTGCTAAGCTACCGCTAGCAGGTGTTCAGCAGATAAGCCATCCAATCTGGTGGCTTTATTATTAAGCAGTTTAGTAATAGCTTGATGGACCTCATGTGACATGATTTCATCTATACTTTCACTTGTACCCATTTTGTACGTTTCACATTATTATTATTATTATTATTATTATTATTATTATTATTATTATTATTATTATTAGGGCTGGCACGTTTTTTAACAGACCACCAGTGTTTAACACGACTTCTCTGTTAACTATCATTTTCTCTGGTGTTTAGTGACTTTATTCGCCATGTGGTGATCGATCCCCATCATGGCTGCAACAGGGCTCTATAGCCCCATTCCCATCTGTACCGGGTCAGCCCGGGCCGGGTAGCCCCAGTCGGCCCCAGCCTGGCCCGGTTGATTCCACACATCCTTGTCTTAAGCCCATGTGGGCTGATTCTACCCACCAATCAGAGGCTTGCTCTAATGGAAGGTGTGAATGGGCTGATTCTACCCACCAATCAGAGGCTTGCTCTAATGGAAGGTGTGAATTTCTTGTCAGCAGTGGGTGTGTTGGCCCTGGTCGGCCTGAAGCAGTACCCCTCGGGAAGAGGGCCGAGAATGAGCCTTGGTTGGCCCGGGAAAATTCCAGGCCACCCAGATATGTAAACAACCTACGCTACCCGGCCCGGGCCGACCCGGTACAGGTGGGAATGGGGCTTATAGCTATAGCACTGGGCTGCGTTCGGGACATTCGGGATAGCAACCATTAATGGTCTGAGAGGCGGAGATTGAGTGTAAGCCCCGCCCACTTGGTGCGCACTGCCCTGCAGGTAGAAGTCTCATGTGCTGGCTGAAACCGGCTGAAACCCTCGATGGACATCTTCCTGGGACTCGGCTGACGAGAAAACCGTCTCACTGTGATTTCTGATGAGATGAAATAAAAAGTGGCGTTCAGCAGGTGGAGGTGAGTTTCAGTTTCTTTCTTCACTTCTCTTGCACGAAGTCGGGTCTAAAGTGAACCTTATTGTGAACTAGAAAAAGTCGGGTACAGTGTCGCGCAAGTTTACGCGCATGCTGTATTTTTTCTACTTTAATTTTAGCAGATAAACTGTTAGCGAAAATGTTTTCATTTACAAATATGACGTACTTCAGTAAAGTTAGCAAGATATTCACAGATTTGACATTTGCGGCGCAATACCTTCCGAACAGAATACTTCAAAACATAAAATACCTCTCTGGACTCGTGGCAAGGTAGTAAACAAGTTACAACCTCGTATTTAAAAAAACGTGCTCAGGTCTGACGAGCTAAATCGTGCTCTATGAGACCACGAACCTGCCGCGAGCGCTCAGGGACCGTCTGAAAATACACAAACCAGAAACAGCACCACCCCTGTACGCTGTATTGTCACCAAATTCATAAAATATAACACTACGCACGTGTTGTTCATACTACAGTGATTATTTTAATTTAGTAACACATAATGTATTTCTTTATTTTAATTTTCAAAGATGTCAATTTTGATATCTGCTCCATTTTAAAATGTGGTGTCACCGATGTCACACACCACATTATCATTGGATGAAGAAAAATGACTTGTCTGCTTTTTGGTTATTTTTTATACCTTATAATTATCTATATTTCCCACATTCAAAATGTTGGTGTGGCAATACACGAGTGGTCTTATCCACCGAATTCCTGGCTTCCGCCATTACCCATGAATCATAGCGGAAGCTGTTTTTTTTTTACTTCCGCTTGCTGTGTTGTTCTTGCATGCTTGTTTACACGTTCGCTGT